GTGTTCCACTACACATTGTGTGAGTGAAGTTTAGAGTGATAGAAAGTGTGTGTTATACTTTCTTGTATCCATCAAGCCTTGTCTTTGGCTTGGTAAGACTACTCTTGTTGTATTCATCTTTTTTCATATAGTGAAGATTCCTTGTTTGGTGGACGTAGGCATAAATTGCCGAACCACATAAATTCTTGGCGTCCATTTTCTACTTTACCTTGTGCATTCTCTATCTTGTAGTACCGACATTCCTAACAAGTGGTATCAGAGCCCGGTTGGCTCGTACTACGAGATGGAAGGAAGTGGCACTATGATCAAACTCACCAACTCCAATTGGGTAACATGGAAGCCAAGGATGGAGGACATTCTCTATTGCAAGGATTTGCATGAGCCAATTGAAGGAGATGCCGCTAAGCCCGAGAGCATGTCCGATGCCGAGTGGAAGAAGATGAATCGCAAGGCTATTGGCACAATTAGACAATGGGTGGATGATAGTGTTTTTCACCATGTGTCTAATGAAACCAATGCTCGCGAGTTTTGGACGAAGCTTGAGTCCTTGTTCGAGAAGAAGACCCCAGCCAAGAAAGCCTTCTTGATCAAAGAGCTCATCAATGTGAAGTACAAGGATGGTTTAAGTGTAGCAGAACACTTGAACAATTTCCAGAATATCATCAACCAGTTGGCTACTATGAAAATGACGATCGAGGACGAGCTACAAGCGCTCTTGTTACTTGGATCCTTGCCAGACAGTTGGGAGACCTTTGTGGTGAGTATAAGTAACTCTGCTTCTAATGGTGTTCTTACTCTTGATAATGTTAAAAATAGCATGCTCAATGAAGAAACAATGAGAAAGACTTCTGGCACAGATAGCAGCCAAGTATTTGTCACAGAGAACCGCGGAAGAAGCAAGAGTAGAGGGCCTAGAGGTCATGGCAGGAGTCCTAGCCGATCCAAGTCAAGGTTCAGGGGTGCATGCCACCATTGTGGCAAAGAAGGCCATATGAAGAAAAATTGTCGAGTTTGGAAGAGAGAGCAAAGGGAAGGAAACAATCAGAAGAAAGATGATACTGGCAATACCACCGCTGTCATATGTGGTGATGTACCAGAAATATTGTCTGTTGGTGAATGTCTGCATATGGGCAACTCTGACAGAGACATTGAATGGATCTTTGATAATGGAGCTTCCTTCCATGCTACGTCCAAACGGGAGTTCTTCAGTACATACAAAGAAGGTGACTTTGGCATAGTGAAGATGGGGAATGAAAGCTATTCCAAAATTCTTGGAATTGGTGATATCTGCTTAAGAACTAAATCTCGGCTGCCAATTGATGTTGAAAGATGTGAGACATATTCCTGATATACGTCTCAATCTGATATCCATCGGTACCCTTGATCGACAAGGATATTATCACCATATTGGCGAAGGAAAATTGAAGCTTACTAAAGGCTTAATGGTGGTAGCAAGAGCACGACTTTGTTGTACGTTGTACCGGTCAAATGCCAAGGTTTTGAAAGGTGAGTTGAATGCTGTGGAAGACTCATCTCTAGACTTGTGGCATAAGAGGCTAGGCCACATGAGCGAGAAAGGCCTACAAGTTTTGGCAAAGAAGTCTCATATTCCCTTTGCCAAAGGTACGTCGTTAAACTCTTGTGAGCATTGTTTATTCGGAAAACAAAGAAGAGTTAGTTTTTCTGTTCCATCTACAAAGAAAGGAAACTTGTTAGATCTTGTTTATTCAGATGTGTGTGGTCCCATGGAAGTCGAGTCACTTGGAAGAAATAAATATTTTGTTACTTATATTGATGATGCTTCACGAAGGGTGTGGGTGTATTTGTTGAAATCCAAAGACCAGGTGTTTTAGACATTCCAGGAGTTCCATGCCATGGTGGAGAGGGAAATTGGGAAACCTCTCAAGTGCCTTCGTAGCGACAACGGCGGCGAGTACACATCTCACCAGTTTAGAGAGTATTGTGTAAAAATGGCATACGTCATGAGAAGACAGTTCCTGGAACTCCACAACATAACGGTGTTGCTGAAAGAATGAACCGAACCATCATGGAGAAAGTCAGGTGTATGTTGAGGACTGCAAAGTTATCTAAGCAGTTCTGGGGTGAAGCTGTAAGGACAGCCTGCTATTTGATCAACCGATCTCCATCAGTACCATTAGGTCTTGATGTTCCAGAGAGAGTATGGACTGGTAATGATGTGTCTTACTCTCATCTGAAGGTGTTTGGTTGCAAAGCTTTTGTGCATGTGCCCAAAGAGCAGAGATCGAAGTTAGACTACAAAGCTACACCGTGCATCTTTCTTGGTTATGGCGGTGAAGATTTTGGTTACAGATTATGGGACCCATACCAGAAGAAGTTTATCCGAAGTAGAGACGTGGTCTTTTATGAAGAACAAACAATTGGGGATTCGGATAAAGAGGCACAACCAGATGGCGCAGTCAGAGGAGTTGATCCATTAGCTTCAGATGAAGAAAGTCACGATGACATCCCTGAAGCAACTGCCAATGAAGTGCCTGCAGAATCAGATAATGCTAATCAAGAGGAGCCTGATCAAGATGTGCCAGACCATGAGATTGCTGATCAGGGGGAGCCTAGTCAAGAAGAGCAGATTCAAGGAGAACCCAATCAGGGGGAGCCTCCAGCCCTACAAGAGAATGAAGATCAGGTCAGAAGATCCATCAGAAGTCGAAGACCGTCTACCAAGTATTCTTCATCAGAGTATATCATGTTGACTAATTATGGAGAGCCCGAAACATATGAGGAGGCCAGAGCTCATAACGACAGTGACAAATGGATGAAGGCAATGGAGTCGGAGATGGATTCCTTATCAAAGAATGATACCTATGAGCTGGTGGAGCTTCCAAATGGCAGGAAAGCATTGAAAAACAAGTGGGTGTTCAAATTGAAAAGAGACGACAACATGACAAGGTACAAGGCTCGTTTGGTTGTCAAAGGTTTTGGTCAAAAGAAAGGAGTTGACTTTGATGAGATTTTCTCACCGGTGGTGAAGATGACTTCCATTCGAGTTATCCTTGGTATGGCAGCAAGCATGGATCTTGAGCTCGAGCAGTTAGATGTTAAAACTGCATTTCTCCACGGCAATTTAGAAGAGGAGATATACATGGAGCAACCCAAAGGCTTTGAAGTCAAAGGTAAAGAAAATTTGGTGTGCAAGCTTAAGAAAAGTTTATATGGTCTTAAGCAGGCTCCGAGACAGTGGAATAAGAAGTTCAACTCATTCATGGTGAGTAATGGGTACAAGAGAACTCATGCTGACTCTTGTGTCTATATCAAACAATTTTCTGGAGGTACATTCATCATCTTATTGCTTTATGTTGATGACATGTTGATTGTCGGACAAGATGCTTCTATGATTAAAAAGCTCAAAGAAGAGTTATCTAAGTCCTTTGACATGAAGGACTTAGGGCCAGCCAAGCAGATTTTGGGCATGGAGATAATTCGTGACAGAAAATCCAAGAAGTTGTGGCTGTCACAAGAAAAGTATGTTGAACAGGTGCTTGAAAGGTTCAACATGAAAGCAGCCAAACCGGTAAGCTCACCTTTAGCCAATCATATCAAGTTGAGCAAAGAGTCATGTCCAAAAAACATATGAAGAAAAGGAGAAAATGGCAGTTGTTCCCTACTCTTCAGCAGTAGGAAGTATCATGTATGCAATGGTGTGCACACGGCCAGATATTGCTCATGCAGTAGGTGTGGTGAGCAGGTTTTGAGCAGGTTTCTCTCTAATCCAGGGAAGGACCACTGGGAAGCTGTTAAGTGGATTCTCAGATATTTGAAAGGGACTTCTAAGATGTGCTTGTGCTTTGGCGGTTCCAAACCAATCTTGGAAGGATTTACAGATGCTGACATGGGAGGTGACCTGGATGGTAGAAAATCTACGTCTGGGTACTTGTTTACTTTTGCAGGGGAGCCGTGTCTTGGCAATCCAAGTTACAAAAGTGCATTGCTTTGTCCACAACCGAGGCTGAATACATAGCCGCTACAGAAGCATGCAAGAAGTTGTTGTGGCTGAAGCGGTTTCTCCAAGAGTTGGGTTTGAAGCAAAGTGATTATGGCGTTTATTGTGATAGTCAGAGTGCTCTGGACTTGAGCAAGAACACTACATATCATTCACGCACTAAGCACATTGATATTTGTTATCACTGGATTAGAGACGCTATCGAGAACAAGTTGCTGCAGCTGAAGAAGATTCATACCGATAATAATTCTTCAGACATGTTGACAAAGGTAGTCACAAAATCAAAGTTGGAATTCTGCATTAAGGCTGCTGGGATGAACTCCAGGTAACTTGGAGTCATGATCGGAATTCCTCCCTCATGGACTGGAGGGGGAGATTGTTGGTATATGGTCCAGCCCATGATCAATGTTCTAGATTATTCTAGTAAGCAAGAGATGAGGCTGGAGCTTGCTAGACAATTCTAGAATGTTATTAAGTTGATGGAAGAAGCTAGAGAGTACTAGCTTCCTTGGTTGCAAATGGAAAGATCTAGAAGCTACAAGTATATGGCTAGTCTAGATTTTTCTATACTAGAGGTTTGAAGAAGGAACTAGAAACTAGTAGAATGCCAAGCCCTCACCTATAAATATGGGTGTGATGTAACCAATTGAGAACCAAGAGTGAGTAGCAAAGGATCAAGTCCAAAGCTAGAGTTCCACTCCAAGAGTGAGAGTGAGAGTGTTCCACTACACATTGTGTGAGTGAAGTTTAGAGTGATAGAAAGTGTGTGTTATACTTTCTTGTATCCATCAAGCCTTGTCTTTGGCTTGGTAAGACTACTCTTGTTGTATTCATCTTTTTTCATATAGTAAAGATTCCTTGTTTGGTGGACGTAGGCATAAATTGCCGAACCACATAAATTCTTGGCGTCCATTTTCTACTTTACCTTGTGCATTCTCTATCTTGTAGTACCGACATTCCTAACACAAAGAACACTCAACAGAGAAAGAAAATTTGATAAAATCCCCCCCCCCCCCCCCCCCCCCCCCAAAAAAAAAAGAAATCCACACAGAGAAAAGCAAAATAATGCCTTGCGCTTTGGTGGTGCCGAACTCGCCGATTTGTTCGCCGTCGCAAATTCCCTCCCATTTTTTCCGGTCGTCGGCTTTAGCTTCCCCTTCTGCCTGTTCTTTACCTAGAGTCCTCCATGGCGCGCCTCCCACACCGTCGCGGTCGCCGGCTTTGACGACGCCGGCTTTTGAGTCTCGGTTTCAGAGGCAGGAGATAAGCGAGTGCCAGAAGCAGGCTTCGGGTTTGGCTCTGAAGAGGAAGAGGCCGAGGATGATTGATATTCCGGTGGCGCCTTTGGTGAATTTTAAGGTGGAGTCGAGTGAGGGTGCGGCGGAGAGAGTGGAGGTGCTGGAGGTTGATGAGGATGTGTATTCGGTTTATTGTAAGAGGGGGAGGAGAGGTCCAATGGAGGATCGTTACTCTGCCGTTGTCGATCTTCACGATGATTCGAGACAGGTAAATTGTGATTATTTCGCTCTCAATTTTCTGTTTGTTTCCCAGGAAAATTTCACAAATGGAAATTAGTATCTTTACTAGAAACTTCAAGCATTTAGCTTTGATTAGATTGTTTTACAATTTTATTTGGAGTGGAGCTTCAACTGAGAAAATTTAGGATGAAATCAAAAGTACAAGAATTGGGTTTCTATAACTTTTGAGAAAGATATAAAATTGTGGAATTTATGTTTTTGAATTCGCTGTTCGAATTCGTTCTGATTAGATTATGTGACTACAGGCATTCTTTGGTGTGTTTGATGGGCATGGAGGAGCAAAAGCAGCTGAATTTGCAGGCAAGAACTTGACTAAAAACATTGCGGATCGTTTGACGGGTGAAAGTGAAGAGGAAATCGTGGAAGCAGTCAAAGATGGTTATCTAACCACCGATGTCGAGTTTCTGAAGGAGGATGTTGCTGGCGGCGCATGCTGTGTGACTGCCTTGATACAAAAGGGTAACCTTGTGGTGTCCAGTGCCGGTGACTGTCGTGCTGTTATGAGCCGAGGAGGGGTTGCCGAGGCCCTTACATCCGATCATCATCCTTCAAGAATAGATGAAAGGGAAAGGATTGAGACCACGGTGAGCATTCAAATATGTGCACATGGATCCGAGGATTTGATATTCGTACGTCAAGATTGAAATGGAAGATCGTGGACTTTGTCGCTGATTGGATTTTGCGATTTTTGTTTTGCAGGGTGGTTATGTAGATTGTTGCCGCGGTGTTTGGAGAATTCAGGGATCTCTTGCTGCTTCGAGATCAATTGGAGATAGACAGCTTAAAGAATGGGTGATAGCAGAACCAGAGACTAAAGTCTTGAGAATAGACCCCGAATGCGAGTTTTTAATGTTAGCTTCTGATGGCCTTTGGGACAAGGTAATTTTAGAACTAAGCTCATTCATTCCGCTTCACGTGTCTTCGTTTAGAGTCATTACTTCGGAATTACCAAAATCTAATACGAAGTTTTCATCTCTCTTTTCCAGGTTACTAATCAAGAGGCGGTAGATATAGTTCGCCCTTTATGCGTTGGTGTTGATAAGCCGGAGCTCTTTTCTGCTTGCAAGAAGCTCGTTGATCTGTCAATAACGAGAGGTTCCATGGATGATACAAGTGTGATGATAGTCCAATTAGGTCGTTTCGTTTTATGATAATTGACCTTTTTCTTGCACTGCAAGTAAAGTTTTGAAGAAAGTTGCAGAAAGGAAGGCAGGAGGACAATTCTTCTGGGATTTGGTACCAAAGTAAGTTCCTTTATATCAATGGTAGAAAACGAATGCAGGAAAGCCATGGTGCAGAAAAGCAACAATCGTAGGATCAATTGTAAATGAAAATTTGTATGCTCGCCGGAGATTTTGTCTCGGCTGTAGGAAGAGGGTACTAGAAGCACGTTACACGTTACGATAATTGTAATTTTTCCAAATTTATAATAAATGATCAAATGCTTACCCTTTAAGCTCAGTTTCTATTTCTGTTTTACTGCATAAGTAGCTTAATCGTTTATTTACGATTTGTCACTTTGTGGTCTTAACGAATTCAACACGTTATAATTTGAGTACAACAGTAATTATTCTGTAGTGGTCTGCTTTAGTACGTTGAACAAGGTTTTGGCTTTGTCTTGTTTAAGTCAACTTCTAGAGCACGTGCTTTTATTTTGGTTAAACTGTTGTTGGACCAGGTCACGGTCCTGTTTGGCAGCTGCGGCCTGCATGCATAGTATGCACTTGTTTTAGTGTTAAAATTCAATAAAAATAATATTATGTGGGTGAATTCGGACGTAGTCACCACCAGTCTATTTAGACTTCGCCTTTGCATTAGAAAATTTAGAACATGCACTAATCAAGTGATTTGTGACTGTGTTAGTGGACATCACACACTCCATTAGAACATTTCACGACTTACCTTGTCTCTTTTTGTTAATTACAAATTCGATCCCTACATTGTAGTGGTTATTCCAATTTGATATTTGACCATCTAATCGTCTCAAGTTTGACCTTTAATTATCTAAAATAAGAGGAGAGATTTGAACTTGAACGCAGAGAAATAAGTTATTACCGTAGTCAATTTGACTATTTGTTTCTACAATTGTTCCATAACTTTTTAATTTTAAATTAGAAAAAATTGACGTTAGTTATAAAACTCAACAAGATTACTAATAAGTAAAATTTAGTTTGACAGATTTTTTTTTTTAGTGAAACAATGACACACCCCGATCCTAGAATCAAGGCGTGTTGGCCGTCACGTGAGTGTGACGTAACCAAAAGTGCGACGCGGAAGCAATAGATAAGAGAAATACGAAGAAATAAAAAAAAAACAAATACTAGCAATAATATCCAACTGGCATGCTAGAATGAGTTTAAGTGTGAAACACATATATTCAGAGCATAAGTACTAGGTGCAGTCAAGTAGGACCATAACTAAATTACAACACCCGAAAGTGAGTCCTACATTTATGTAGTATGTCAGTACGTCATGGGAATCCTCGTGGGCCACCAACGCTGTTAACTAGAACCTGGAGGGGCGCAAAACAAAATTGAGTGGGTCAGTAAAACAAAGCTTTTTGAAAACATTTCAATTAATAACATTTCTAACCCCTCGCTGTAAAACATGTATACTTTCCCAGAAAATAACATAATATACATATAAATCTTCATATATCTCAAATCACAAATCTTTATCCAATAACAAAAAGTGTGCCATGCTATAAATGTCAATAACAGATTAAGAATGTATCAATATAACATGTGACATAATGAATCAACCGGAGACCCTGCAGTTGGTCCTGTACGGTTAATTTCATAGCTCAATATCCAAACCAACCGGAGTCACCACAATGACATGTACGGCACTACTCTGCACATAAATCGGAACTACCTGAAGTAGTCTGTACGATAACAATGGTGTAAGAATACGCTCTAGTGCTTCTCTCATCAACAGCTGTATAATAATCTAAAATCACCTACAGTCGGAACCACTCTATGGTCTGTACGACATGTCGGAACCCTCTCATGGTCTGTATGACATGCACCTACTTGGATCCAAGGTGAGCGTGCGGTGCAGGGTGAATAATATAAGCATTAACACCAGGGGTGCAGGTTTTAGCTTTCAACACGATTCACTTCATCGATAGTTCACATGAATAACATAAAACTCACCTGATACTCACATGTGCGTCCACAACACAATTTCACATATATATGCATCAATTACTAATTCATATAATTCATAATATGCATGCATGGCATTTTAAAAACATACTTTCATTTAAATTCAATTTATGGGAAATTCAGTAGTATATAGGTAATAATAGAAAATAACTGCCCACTCACTGGTAAGTCGAAGGGTCGTAACCCCCGTGACGTCCTTGAATGCGCTCATCCTCGGGATAGGTATCACCTACATGCGAAACAACTATAACAACGTTATTGAAAGCACATAACTGACAATTCATAATAACTTCTCATACGATGCTCAATTTGGGTATATGAATATACCAAAGTGACCTACTCGACGTCGAGGTATTTTTAGAAAAAAAAATTCGAGGCCGCACGGGCCCCCACGTGCGTCACCTTCTTCCTCCAGTCGCCAAAAAACTGGAGGTTCAATCTCCTTGTTCTCCGTCATTTATCAACCATTTTTCACGCATTTTATATCAATTTGAAGCCCTAAGCGTGTAGAATTACATTACACTACTTTAAGGTTAAAAAACATACGAAATCTCACCGGAGAAATTCCAAGAAAACCGGCCAACTTCGAACCCGGCGATCCCGACGTCCAAAACTTTCAAACTAAACACTCTGAGCTTCCTTAGGACCTTACTAAGCTCACTGTAAGCTTAGAATTCCCTGAAATTCAACAATTCACGCGTGCATGAACAATACTCAAATCGGACCTTGAGGTTTCAACGTGATATCGAGGGTTTCCAGTTCTAAAAATGACACCAATCAAATCAGGAGATTGAAAGGATGAAGAAACTCACTTTTTTGGCTTCGATCCGCGAAGAAATTGAGGGATTGGTGCTTTGGTCCGTACGGGTTCGAGAGGAAGAGAGAGAGAACTGCGATGGAGGAGAGAGAGAGAGCACGGGGAAGAACTTGTCCCGTGTGTGTATGTGTGGTCCACCCAAAACAAGCCATACTTTCATTCCCTAACCACACAAATTTCAAATAACTTTTAATCCATTTAAAATCTTCCAAAAATTTGGGAGAGTATGAATTATTCCAAATTATACGTCACACGTACCTTAGTCACCTTAAGGGTAATTTCGTCATTTTACAACCTCGATAAATAAAAACTCGGGACGGGCTGTGACAAACAAACAATGATATCGACTATGACAAAAAGGAGCCTTTTCGAATCATCACCACTCGTGTGTTGAAGGAGATTGGTCAGTCATTTTGAGAACTAATGAAACACAAAAATGATCACGTAAATAAGACACTTACATATAAATCATATTATTCAGCCAAACCAGATATTGTCAATTTTCTTAAGATCAAAACTAACAATTCTAGTTGGTCAAATCTAATACCGGTTAAGGAAAACAAGTCCAAACTTGATTTGGTTGGTTTAATTTGTATGATTTACAACCTAGTCGTAAGTAGTAACTTACTAGTAGAGGGAGGAAAACATTTTGGTCAAAATAGATGGGTTAAGAAAATGTCAAACAAATTCTCATATTATATGCTAATATTTGGAACGAAAACGATTTCTTGCTCTTATCAAATCCATTCGAAAGTTCAGAGTTAATTATGAAGAACTTATAACTAAAGTGATCAAGAATATTTAAATTTTTACTCGACGTTATAAGTTCAATTCTACACTCCCTTGAGAGAGAATTTAGGACTAATTTGAGACAAAAAAAATTATAAGACTCGAACCAGAAAAACCTCAAAAATTTAGGGGACAAATGTGAGATCAAACCTAATTATTCTTGTAATATTTGAATTCGACATTTTAAAGATACAGTAGGCACAACCTTTATACGCCCTCCCTCCATTTCTGACTAAATCCCAAAACCAAAACAGGTCAACATAAGTCAATACAATTCCCAAATAAACAAATTACGACCCCGTCGCTCTGACTTCACTTTATATTAGCCTCTTGTCAAGCACAGTTAATTACGAGATTTTGTATTGTATTTTTATTTTTTTAAATTATAATTAAAATAATAATTTAAATATTATGAAAGTTTCGCTTATTTTACTTCTCCCTATATATACACCCCCTCCATTTCCCGCTGTCGACCAAATCACACACAGTAAAGAACACTCAACAGAGAAAGAAAATTTGATAAAATCCCCCCCCCCCCCCCCCCCCCCCCAAAAAAAAAAAGAAATCCACACAGAGAAAGGCAAAATAATGCCTTGCGCTTTGGTGGTGCCGAACTCGCCGATTTTTTCGCCGTCGCAAATTCCCTCCCATTTTTTCCGGTCGTCGGCCTTAGCTTCCCCTTCTGCCTGTTCTTCGCCTAGAGTCCTCCATGGCGCGCCGCCCACACCGTCGCGGTCGCCGGCTTTGACGACGCCGGCTTTTGAGTCTCGGTTTCAGAGGCAGTTGATAAGCGAGTGCCAGAAGCAGGCTTCGGGTTTGGCTCTGAAGAGGAAGAGGCCGATGATGATTGATATTCCGGTGGCGCCCTTGGTGAATTTTAAGGTGGAGTCGAGTGAGGGTGCGGCGGAGAGAGTGGAGGTGCTGGAGGTTGATGAGGATGTGTATTCGGTTTATTGTAAGAGGGGGAGGAGAGGTCCAATGGAGGATCGTTACTCTGCTGTTGTTGATCTTCACGATGATTCGAGACAGGTAAATTGTGATTATTTCGCTCTCAATTTTCTGTTTGTTTCCCGGGAAAATTTCACAAATGGAAATTAGTATCTTTACTAGAAACTTCAAGCATTTAGCTTTGATTAGATTGTTTTACAATTTTATTTGGAGTTGAGCTTCAACTGAGAAAGTTTAGGATGAAATCAAAAGTACAAGAATTGGGTTTCTATAAATTTTGAGAAAGATATAAAATTGTGGAATTTATGTTTTTGAATTCGCTGTTCGAATTCGTTCTGATTAGATTATGTGACTACAGGTATTCTTTGGTGTGTTTGATGGGCATGGAGGAGCAAAAGCAGCTGAATTTGCAGCCAAGAACTTGACTAAAAACATTGCGGATCTTTTGACGGGTGAAAGTGAAGAGGAAATCGTGGAAGCAGTCAAAGATGGTTATCTAACCACCGATGTCGAGTTTCTGAAGGAGGATGTTGCTGGCGGCGCATGCTGTGTGACTGCCTTGATACGAAAGGGCAACCTTGTGGTGTCCAATGCCGGTGACTGTCGTGCTGTTATGAGCCGAGGAGGGGTTGCCGAGGCCCTTACATCCGATCATCATCCTTCTAGAATAGATGAAAGGGAGAGGATTGAGACCACGGTGAGCATTCAAATATGTGCACATGGATTCGAGGATTTGATATTCGTACGTCAAGATTGAAATGGAAGATCGTGGACTTTGTCGCTGATTGGATTTTGCGTTTTTTGTTTTGCAGGGTGGTTATGTAGATTGTTGCCGCGGTGTTTGGAGAATTCAGGGATCTCTTGCTGCTTCGAGATCAATTGGAGATAGACAGCTTAAAGAATGGGTGATAGCAGAACCAGAGACTAAAGTCTTGAGAATAGACCCCGAATGCGAGTTTTTAATGTTAGCTTCTGATGGCCTTTGGGACAAGGTAATTTTAGAACTAAGCTCATTCATTCGCTCACGTTTTCGTTTAGAATTACTTCGAAGACCAAAAGTCTAATTCATCTCAGATCTTCGCCTTCACGTGTCAAAAGCGTCTTTTTGCAAGAGAAGCTCGTTACTGTCAAAATCGAGATTTTCTCAATTTATTACAGTGATGTATCAAGATCGGTAGTATAGTTCGCTTTATGCGTTTGTTGTTTAAGCTGCTTTAAATTTCTGTTGCAAGAAGCTCGATCTGGCTTCTTGGAGGTCCATGGTGTTTGATACCAATGGTAGAAAGCGAATGTATTAGTTTGACCCTTAGGCATGCAAGTAAGTTTTGTAAATGAAAATATTGGATAGCTCGGTGCAGATTTTGTTGGTTGTAGGAATCTTTGGTATAAAAGGTACCCGACGATACCCGTTTTAAGCAGAATTTAGTGATCAAATTTCAAAAGTAGTTTTATAACCTGTTTATACTTATTTATTATTCTTACCGTTATGCTTATTCAAGTATAATTAGTTTTGTGTTGAATTTGATTGGTTTAAACGTTTGGTTTCATTTGAGAAAAGTTACAAATAAGCTAAGAGTTATCCTTTTCATATAGTTAACAGTTTTAATATTAAGGGTTTTTTTTGACCCCAACTTGACATCCGTTAAACAATCCCATCTAACTAAACACCTTGACCCAAAACCCGTTTAGCAAATACTATATTCGGATCCAAATACGGTCTACCGTCGACAAAACTCCGCCTTCTGGACGTGTTTTGGCTTTGTCTTGTTTAAAGTCAACTTCTAGAGCACGTGCTTTTATTTTGGTTAAACTGCTGTCGGACCAGGTCACGGTCCCGTTTGGCAGCTGCGGCCTGCAAGCATAGTATGCACTTGTTTTAGTGTTAAAATTCAATAAAAATAATATTATGTGGGTGAATTCGGACGTAGTCACCACCAGTCTATTTACACTTCGCTTTCGCATTAGAAAATTTAGAACATGCACTAATCAAGTGATTTGTGACTGTGTTAGTGGACATCAGGACGTGCCAAACTTTTTTATCCACTCTTGTGCCGGCTTTTATCTTTTGTTTTCAGTCAACGAAAAATGAAATTCAAACTTGGTGGTATGAACAATTGATCAATTTATAATAAGGCCCACGCAACCACCATGGGAAGAAGGCCTCATTGGGATATATTGATGTGGAATACAAAAGTTGTTTGTATTGCTATTGAATCATTGAATTTTTGTGTTCATTGTATTGCAGCTCTTGAATCGAACTCCTTTGATTGTGCATTCGAATGATTTCGTTTAAGATATTGTTGCTTACTGAGTTTCGTAGCTGTTTTTTTTTTTAGTATATCGATATTTTTATACTAAATGGAGGGGGAGTTTGGCTAAACCACATAATAGGCAGCCAAATTTGGTATCGAATTTGTCATCCACGAGATTCGAACCTAAGACCTCTTACTTCCAAGTGAAGAGGAATACAACCAGACCGTAGTCATGAGTAACAAAACATTGCATATGATTAAATTTTTTTTTTTTTTTTTGTAGCTGTTTTGATAGCGTTGTTTACATTAGATGTTTTATACCTTTCTCTTGGGTTTTTGAACTCTTGTAGTTTCGTTTTGAGGTTTATTTGTAAGAAATGGTAATGGAATTGTTTATATTTAGGTCTAAAAACTTTGAAGAAGTTACTTTTTGCTCTTAGAAGTAATGTGAAGTGCCATCTCTTTGGGCGGAAAGCAATAATACTTATGTACCCCATTGTAGTTTTGATCCCCACCATTTTTTCCTCTAACAACCAACAATTTATGACTCATTTTGATGTGCTTTTAAAATGACTGAAAGCGATTTTAGAGAAAATATTTTTGAGTTCCAAAAGTACTTTAAGTGCTTTTTGCAACAAGCACCAGTTATGTGATTATTCCAGGAAGCACTTTAAGTATTTTTCCAGGATTTACTTGCATTTTTATTAAGGATTAGTTACAAAAACATTTTCACAAAAAATATTTTCAATCATTTTAAAAACACATCCAAACGAACTCTTAATCTATTAAAACTATCGTTTGTCATTGATTATCTTCTTAATTATTCAACCTAATTAACCTAACGGCTAAAAAATTGCCAAAAGTTAAAAAGTGGAGTGTGGAAATCATTCACGAATTAAATGGGCCAAGTTTTTCTTGGGCTTATACATTTTTGTCAAAGGTTATTGGGCTTCTCAGACATGCTTCGACTTTAAAATAAATTTTCCAATTTTGCATCACAACACCGTGTGCTATAATAGGCCCATAACTCGGCATTAAAAGAAAAAGAAAAAGAAAAAGAAAACCCTGTGTTATAGTACAAATGAATAATTATGCTTTTGCTTAGCCAAAAAGATTACATGTTAATAGGTTACTGGTAAACTTCCAAAAACTTATATTTTAAACAAGACGTGCTTATAAGAATCAGATACGAACCAAAAACTCAAGATTTCAAGTTTGGATCCACCTCACTAATAATAAAAAACAAAATCATCGATTTGAGATTCCGAATTTAAATCCTCCTCGTTAATTTTATTTGTATCAAAAGAAAAAGAAAAATTAAACGAGTAAACCTAAATTTACCTCTGTGTATAAGAAAACTTAATATTAAAAATGATTTTTATCACAAATGATTCTTGAAATTGATTTTCATCATCAATATGACATTTGAAATTGAAAATCAATTAATGTAATCCCTGAAAATAGGTATCGCAAATTAATATGGTCATTCCGTCACAATTCTGTTAAATTTTTTGTTAAATGCTGATGTGACACATACATGGGCCCCACAAGATTTATGAGTTTTTATCACAAATGATTCATGAAATTAACCCACACTATCAAGATGATCCATAAAATTAAAAATCGGATAATATAGTCATTGAAAATAGGTGTCGCAAATTAATGTAATCATTCCACCACAATTCTGTAAATTTTTTTGTTATGTGTGTGATTTTAATAATTAATTTAAAAAGTTGTCTAAATACCTTTTGACAATGAATTTTTTTTTCTTATAGTAAGATTTGATCGATTTTCAATTTTATGAACCATTTTAATATCGCAGGTCAATTTAGGGACATTTTGATGTTGTGGGTCAATTTTAAGAACCATTTATGAGGAAAAAAGACTTATGAGATCCATTTATGTGCCATATCAGCACTTAACGGAATCTTTAACATAATTGTGATGGACGAACCATATTGATTTGCGACACCTATTTTTAAAGACTACATTAATTGATTTTCAATTTCAAGGACCATATTAATGATGTGGTTTAATTTCAATGACAATTTGTGATAAAAATCCTATTAAAAAAGAATGTATTCTCGAAATACTTTCCTATATATATATCACACTTACTACATCTACATGTTACCATGTGCACAGTCGTTGAAAAAGGTCGGGTTAAATCCGGACCCGCATCTAATGACCCGGCGACTATCCACAACCACTTTTGCATGAAGAAGTTCAGCCAATGAGTAAAGCGCACGACAGAACATTTTTAACACGTAATTATTTTAAAATTTTTTCTCCTCCTCATCCGAATATTTTAAAATATTTAATTTATTTAATATTTTAGCTCTCGAAGTGGCCTGGGTGAGATCTCTGCGCCTCGTTTATATTTTTCACTGGAATAAAATTCCATTTCATAAAATCCCCTAAAAAAAAATCAGACCTGCGTTCTAACCCCCTTTCTCCTCAGATCTCTCTCCCTTTGTTCGCTTTTGCGGGTCCAAGGGTTTCGGTGCTGCTAGATCTCTCTCAGCGATTCGAATCCCTCTCCGGGTTCGAACGCTCTCTCTCTCTCTCTCTCTCTCTCTCCGCGGTGGACTCACACTTCACGGCTGCATCGCATCCGTAGATCCAAGCCGCCGATTCCGAGCCGTCGATCTGCTCCGCAGCCATGGCGGCCGCGAACGCTCCGATCACCATGAAGGAGGCCCTAACGGTCAGTTTTAGCTTCCGATTCGAATGCTTCTTTAGCTCAATTTAAATTTACACTTGCTTTTTAGCTGAATTAGTTGCTTTTTTGGTCAATGACTTCGCTCGATTTGTGATTTTTACTTCGTTTTTGCTACTTAGTTTTGTGTTAAGCTTCAGATAGATCTGAAAGTTTCTGGAATTTTCGGTTTCTGATCAGATCTGAGGAGTTGTGTTACTTAGAACTACTGAGTTTAGCACACGATTAACTGTTCACAGAGGTTTTGACAAAAAATATAAAGTGATTGATGAGTTTGTACGATAAGTGGTTGATGAGTTTGTATGATCTGATCTGATTGCAGCTTCCGAGCGTTGGGATTAATCCGCAATTCATAACGTTTACACATGTTACTATGGAATCCGATAAGTACATATGCGTTCGGGAGACTTCGCCTCAGAACAGTATTGTTATTATCGATATGAGTATGCCGATGCAACCTCTGAGGAGGCCTATCACTGCGGACTCTGCGCTTATGAATCCGAATTCCAAAATTCTTGCCTTGAAAGGTAGGTTATAACTACTTGTTCGCATTGCTGGAATACCTCTTTTTGCATATACGTGTTGTCACTTTTGAAAGGTGGTCTGGTTTAGTGGTCTGCTCTTGATCTGAATGCATCATGCATGTGTGCTGCTATTGCACCAACTTTTTGAACCTCAGATTACTTAATTAGTATGCAGTAAGTTTCGTCGTAGACTAATAGATTCACTATTCATCTTGCTGATATGTTTGCACCATGTAATTAGTTGAATCAGTAGTTACTATCATATACAATCTAAGTTTTTAACTTTATTTATCTACTGGATCTTACTTACCGGCGCCTTACCTTTCTTTATGAACCACAATTTTTTTAATTCTTATTGATCATGTGTTGTCATATCCACTTGAAGCTGGAGTCCAAGGTACTACTCAGGATCACCTTCAAATATTTAACATCGAGATGAAAGCAAAACTGAAATCACATCTTATGCCGGAGCAGGTACTCGCTTCATTTGTTTACTAGTTAGTGTGTTTTTCGCCATCTCTTGTATTTGCTTAAGAATACCTGGGTCTCGTTTTCTGCGAGGTTTTAAACAGTCTAGCTTACCTTTCCCCATTGTTTCTTTTGTAGATTGTTTTCTGGAAGTGGATAACCCCAAAGATGTTAGGTTTAGTCACTCAGACTACAGTATACCACTGGTCAATTGAAGGTAAGATGCCTTAAATAAGTTATTTGAGTATTATACAATCATACTTCTTCTGGCTTTTGTTGCATGGAAACATTACAAATTAATGGTATCAACTTGCTTGTTGTGTTAAACTTTTGGTCTTTATTTGTTTGTTCCTCGCTGCATCTCCTTGTAGGTGAATCTGAACCTGTAAAGGTGTTTGAGCGAACAGCTAATCTGGCTAACAATCAGATTATAAATTACCGCTGTGATCCTTCCGAGAAGTGGTTGGTTTTGATTGGAATTGCTCCTGGTGCACCAGAGGTGTGTTATTATGTCTATTTATGCCTGTCCAGCATTATTTCTTGTGTCCACCAGTTTTTTTTTTCTCAGCCGAGGAAAATTGTTAGAAATTGCAGAACTGTTGGGATCTTTAGCTACCCTGTTTGAGTTCCCATAAACGAATCCCATTTTCTTGAATCTTGCCCATTGAGTGTTTGCAGGCCAGCCCTCTAAAAGTCAGTCTTTATTTATATTCAAATTTGTACTTCTATTCTTAATACATTCAATATATCCTCATAAACTATTGTGGGAACTATAGTTCCCAATGATTGATATTGTGAAACAACTCTGCTTCTGTACTAGTTCTGTTTTTCTTCTCTTTTTTGTTTATAAAGTTCACAATTTTTCGGAAATTACAACCCCTCTCTTTTAAAGCCACTTCTCTGCTGTACTGCTTCTCATTGTTAATGTTGTTTTTCTAGAGGCCACAATTGGTGAAAGGAAATTTGCAACTCTTCTCTGTGGATCAGCAGCGCAGTCAAGCTCTTGAAGCACATGCTGCATCATTTGCCCAATACAAGGTATGCAAGTTTCACCCTTTCTCCTACTATTTATAATTTCCTGCACCTCGCACTATTCACAATCTATTAATACACAAACATATATGCATCTTTGAATATTGTTGACCTGGTGTCTCTATTTTGCACAGGTTCCAGGGAATGAGAATCCTTCAACTCTTATTTCTTTTGCCACTAAGACCCTCAATGCTGGACAGATTACATCAAAGTTGCATGTTATTGAGCTCGGTGCCCAGCCAGGTTGATATTAGGATTATATTAAATTAAAGTTATATGTTCATTCATGAAATGAACTGGCTGCCCGGTTCTGTTTAGACACATGATTTTTTGTTCCCTTACACAAAATCTCCTCTCCATTAAATCTGTAAGTGCTGATTATGGTTTCTTGGATAGGGTATATCTTTAATCATTAAAACTAAATAACCATGGAGATAGTGGTTACATCTACAACAACAACAACAAAGCCTTATCCCACCAAGTGGGGTCGGTTGTATGAATATTGGTGACGTCTGCTGGGAATATATATTGGAATAAGTTTAATATTATTAGCTCATAAACTTGTATAGGTTAAATTATATGTGATATCGACTAAGTTTGTACACGGTTGGCACTTTCAGTTAAAATCAAATTTTGGGAAGATATTGAATATATATTGTTTTGTGTTTATTTTGGTGATTTTCAAGTTAATGGAAGTAACTGTGAGTTTGATCATATTGCAGGGAAACCATCTTTTACGAAGAAACAAGCAGATCTTTTCTTTCCTCCAGATTTTAATGATGATTTCCCAGTCGCCATGCAGGTACTGAATTACGCCAGTGTTTTTTAACTAATTGTGTATACTGTACATATGTTAATATTGAATTCGTTTATCTGGCAGATGTCTCACAAGTACAGCTTGATTTATGTAATTACAAAGCTTGGGCTACTATTTGTGTATGATTTAGAGACAGCTAGTGCCGTTTACAGAAATAGAATTAGTCCGGATCCAATTTTCTTGACAACGGAGGCTTCATCTGTTGGAGGGTTTTATGCGGTTAATAGGCGGGGCCAGGTGTTGTTGGCTACAATTAATGAGCAAACAATTGTGCCTTTTGTCAGCGGCCAGGTATGTTTGAAATGTTTTTTTTCTTTCTTGCTGTGGTGCTATGGTATTGAAAGTAGCAAGTTGTTCTTAAAAATGTTATCTTGTTTGCATTTGCAGCTAAACAATTTGGAGCTTGCTGTCAATCTGGCTAAAAGAGGAAATCTTCCAGGTGCTGAGAATCTGGTAAGATATTCTTTTATAATTCAATTTATGCTTGAGTAGTACTAGATTTTCCACAGGGGCAGTATTTAAGTAAGCATAGTTAAGCTGTGTGGAATTAACTTGAAGCTCACTGATAAGAAGCACATTGGTTGCTTTTATTGTATCCAATTTGAAGTTGTCATTATAAGGAAGTTATTTAAACTTGAAGCTCACTGAAGATGTGCTTGTTAAGGTCAGAGAGGCAAGGGATTTCATCCATGTAGTGTGTAGAGATGAAATTTAATCCATAATCTTTTTTTGTTAACGTTTGGACAAGTTAATAACGCTTTGAGATAAGGGAGGTGAAGCTAGAGAAGGCCTTAATCTATATGGTGAACAATTATTGTTGATTGTTGGCTGGGTTGTACTTGGCTATCTCATTTGTTATGCCATGATTTGATAAGGTATAATCCTCTCTACTTTAATTTCTGATGTTCCTACATGATTTTTACAGGTTGTCCAGCGTTTTCAAGAACTGTTTGCCCAAACAAAGTACAAAGAAGCTGCTGAGCTTGCTGCGGAGTCCCCACAAGGAATTCTCCGCACACCTGATACTGTTGCTAAATTTCAGGTTTCCATTTTGCTTCTGTATTATTTGCACATGTTTCTTTCTTTAAGCAGTAGTTCTCTCTTCACATGACTTGTCCTGGAGGTGTTTCACATGTATCTAATATTTTTGTTTTCAATTCTATTTGTATCAAGCTTCTGGTATGCAGTTTGATGTGTTCTGGTAGTTCTTGTTCTTGGGTGTTTGATATATCTGAGTGTTCTCTAATTGGCTAGATCGAATACGAAGTACGTATAGCATTTTTCTGGTAGTAGAACATTTATGAGTAGTGTTATTGATGCTTTGTAGAGGTTAGGAGAATTAAATGAATTCAAGTGGCTGCATCTGTGTCAGAACCGGTGAGAAATGAATATATACTAAATGGTATTCTAGCGGACTAAACTGAGATACAGCATACTTGGTCAAAAGACATATTGTGCTTGATAGGTTTAGATTGTATGTTCATTTGTTTGAGAGGGTGAGAGTTACAATTCTTGCACTCTGCTAATGACTTTTGTTTTCTGATGTGTTGCAGAGTGTTCCTGTCCAAGCTGGGCAAACACCACCTTTGTTGCAGTACTTTGGGACACTCTTGACAAGAGGGAAGCTCAATGCATTTGAATCATTGGAATTGTCACGTCTTGTAGTGAACCAGAATAAGAAGAACCTTTTGGAGAACTGGTTGGCCGAGGACAAACTCGAATGCAGTGAGGAACTGGGAGATCTTGTGAAGGTTGGCTTTGCGATTTGAATTTAAATGTCGATTTTCAGTTATTTACATTTTTGGTATTAATCTCTCTGATTTTTTTTCTTGTAGACTGTGGATAATGATCTGGCTTTGAAAATATATATTAAAGCCAGAGCAACTCCCAAAGTTGTTGCAGCTTTTGCTGAGCGAAGGGAGTTTGACAAAATACTGATCTACTCAAAGCAGGTGAGGAATTGTTACGTAGTAATTGGTTTTCTAAATGTTTGTTTTTATATTTGTTAAATGGTTGTTTGGTGTCTGAGCATTGCCATTGTCTTTGTTGCTTTAGGTTGGCTACACACCTGACTATCTGTTCCTTTTGCAAACAATTCTTCGAGCAGATCCTCAGGTATTCATATAATACTCCGAAAGCTTATATTTTCTATTTAGTTCTTGAAAGCTGAAAGCATAAACAGATCGCGCACTGATCTTTTTTCGGTGAATGTCCCATCGAAAACAAAATCCTTCCGTTTGTATTTTTTCAGTTAGTACCCCCCGCAGTTTGATGTACTGTGTACATTTGGTTTGCAATTGTATATAGATGGAATTGAAACTTGTTTACGACGTTGTATAAATTTAAACTAAACCAGGTTAAAATGTGGTTTTTAATGTAGGGTGCTGTTAATTTTGCATTAATGATGTCTCAAATGGAAGGTGGTTGTCCAGTTGATTACAACACTATAACAGATCTCTTCCTTCAGGTGTGTTTACTTTCATGATTACTAACTTTTTACGTTATACTGTGCTCACCTTAGCAGTTATGGATATTATTTAATAAAAAATACGGCTCACATGCTTCTTGTTTCTCTTTGTATATTTTAGAGGAACCTTATTCGTGAGGCAACCGCCTTTCTATTGGATGTTTTAAAGCCAAATCTTCCAGAGCATGCATTCCTGCAAACAAAGGTTTCTATCATTAAAGCTACTTATAAATGATCTGTAGATTCCTATTTCAGCTGGTTGACATTTTTCATCCATGCAGGTCCTTGAAATCAATTTAGTGACCTTTCCTAATGTGGCTGATGCTATTTTAGCCAATGGAATGTTCAGTCATTATGACCGTCCTCGTATTGCCCAGCTATGCGAAAAAGCTGGTCTTTATGTGCGAGCTTTGCAAGTAAGATGTGTTGCAAATTCCTTTTCTTTTAATTGTCCTCTATTTCTAATAGTAACATTTGTGCTAAACATTTTGCTTCTGTTGCAGCATTACTCAGAGTTGCCTGATATTAAACGTGTCATAGTGAATACACATGCAATAGAGCCACAGTCACTTGTGGAGTTTTTTGGCACTCTGTCGAAAGAATGGGCATTGGAGTGCATGAAAGATCTTTTATTGGTCAACTTAAGAGGAAACCTTCAGATCATTGTGCAGGTACACCTTTTTTTTCTTTTTGCTACCGTGATGTTAAAACCATGCCTGGAGCATTAACTGAAACAATTAGTAATACCTGCGCAGGTTGCTAAGGAATATTCTGAGCAGTTGGGTGTTGATCAATGCATGAAGCTCTTTGAACAGTTCAAGTCATATGAAGGGTTGTACTTCTTCCTTGGTTCGTTTTTGAGCTCAAGGTAATCTGTTGAAGAAGTTTTCTTTATTTTCTTGTGTTTGGATATCTCCTCCAGTTTATTCTTGATTTTCATATAACTTTAAAATTTGATACAGTGAGGATCCTGATATCCACTTCAAGTACATTGAGGCAGCTGCTAAAACTGGACAAATCAAGGAGGTGGAGCGAGTTACAAGAGAATCAAACTTCTATGATGCTGAGAAGACAAAGAACTTCTTAATGGAAGCTAAGCTCCCCGATGCGCGTCCATTAATTAATGTTTGCGATCGTTTTGGATTTGTTCCAGATCTCACCCACTACTTGTACACGAACAATATGCTTCGTTACATTGAAGGTTACGTTCAAAAGGTACTATTTGAGGCTTTGAGTCTTCTTTCGACACTCTGAATTCTCTTTTGGGTTCCATCACTGAAAATTTTACTGGCTCATTGTGTAGGTGAACCCTGGGAATGCTCCATTAGTTGTGGGACAGTTGTTAGATGATGAGTGCCCTGAAGATTTTATCAAAGGCTTGATTCTTTCTGTTCGTTCATTGCTTCCAGTGGAGCCCCTTGTGGAGGAATGTGAGAAGAGGTATGTATTCACAATGCCACCCAATCCTAATTTTTACCCTTCCATCATCTTTTTTGTCTCTCACTTAATTTTCTTATTCTTTTCCCTCTCTCTAGGAATCGCCTTCGTTTACTCACACAGTTCTTGGAGCATCTTGTGAGTGAGGGAAGCCAAGATGTACATGTGCACAATGCTTTGGGTAAAATCATCATTGATAGTGGCAATAATCCAGAGCACTTCCTTACCACAAACCCATATTATGATTCACGTGTTGTTGGTAAATATTGTGAGAAACGTGATCCTACCCTAGCTGTTGTTGCTTACCGCCGTGGACAATGTGACGATGAACTTATTAATGTCACAAATAAGAACTCATTGTTCAAATTGCAAGCAAGGTTGGTGATTAGTATCTTATGACTAATTCTTTGTTCAAATTTCATCTCATTCGAGTACCTGGAGGTTTACTGACTAATTCTTTGTTACTAGGTATGTGGTTGAGAGGATGGATGAAGATCTTTGGGGGAAAGTTCTTGACCCTGAGAATGAGTACAGAAGACAGCTTATTGATCAAGTTGTTTCTACTGCCTTGCCCGAGAGCAAGAGCCCGGAGCAAGTTTCTGCGTCTGTTAAGGCTTTCATGACTGCTGATTTGCCTCACGAATTAATTGAGCTTCTTGAAAAGATTGTGCTTCAAAACTCTGCCTTCAGTGGAAACTTTAATCTGCAAAACCTGCTAATTTTGACAGCCATCAAGGCAGATCCGTCTAGAGTTATGGATTATATTAATAGGCTAGATAATTTTGATGGACCTGCAGTTGGGGAAGTAGCTGTGGAAGCTCAATTGTATGAGGAAGCATTTGCAATCTTCAAGAAGTTTAACTTGAATGTCCAAGCTGTTAATGTCTTGTTGGATAACATCCGAAGCATTGATAGGGCTGTGGAGTTTGCCTTCCGTGTGGAGGAAGATGCTGTTTGGAGCCAGGTTGCAAAGGCTCAACTTCGGGAGGGTCTAGTGAGCGATGCTATTGAATCATTTATCCGTGCGGATGATGCCACCCAATTCTTGGATGTTATTCGTGCTTCTGAGGATGCAGATGTGTACCATGACTTGGTGAAGTACCTTCTAATGGTTAGGCAGAAGGTCAGAGAACCCAAGGTGGACAGTGAGCTCATTTATGCATATGCAAAGATTGATAGGCTTGCTGACATCGAAGAATTTATTCTTATGCCAAATGTCGCTAATCTCCAAAATGTTGGTGATCGCCTATATGATGAGGCTCTCTATGAAGCTGCAAAGATAATATATGCCTTCATATCTAACTGGGCCAAGTTGGCTGTCACACTTGTGAAGCTCAAACAATTTCAAGGTGCTGTTGATGCAGCACGAAAAGCTAACAGTTCAAAGACATGGAAGGAGGTTTGCTTTGCTTGTGTTGATGCTGAGGAGTTCCGCTTAGCTCAGATTTGTGGTCTCAACATCATTATACAGGTGATTTTTTATTTTTTTTTTGCATCTGTTTGTCTCGTATACTTCTAAGGTGAATTTTTACTCTAGGTTTGCTCATATTTATACAGTTTTCACTAATTCTTTGTGTTGATTTGAATTTTATAGGTGGATGATTTGGAAGAGGTCAGTGAATACTACCAGAATAGAGGATGCTTCAATGAGCTTATATCTCTAATGGAGAGTGGTCTTGGGTTAGAGCGTGCTCACATGGGAATCTTTACTGAGTTGGGGGTTCTATATGCTAGATATCGTCCAGAGAAACTTATGGAGCACATCAAATTGTTCGCAAATCGTCTAAATATCCCCAAGCTTATAAGAGCATGTGATGAGCAGCAACATTGGAAGGAGCTGACCTATCTGTATATTCAATATGATGAGTTTGATAATGCTGCAACTACCATCATGAATCATTCCCCTGAAGCCTGGGATCACATGCAGTTCAAAGATGTGGCAGTTAAAGTTGCTAACGTGGAGCTATATTACAAGGCTGTGCACTTCTACTTGAAAGAGCACCCGGATCTCATTAACGATCTTCTAAATGTGCTCGCGCTTCGTGTAGATCACACACGTGTTGTTGACATCATGCGGAAGGTAATTGAATGTGCATATATTTATTTACGGGATTCTTAGATACTTGGTGCCCTCCCATCCAACAAAAAAGCATTGGAAGTTTAGATTTCATCTCCATGGCTTTGATGTTTACATTCTTCTGTGCTTGAAAATTGTAGGCTGGTCACCTGCTTCTTGTGAAGCCATACATGGTTGCAGTTCAGAGCAACAATGTCTCTGCTGTGAACGAGGCTTTGAATGAGATTTATGTTGAGGAGGAAGACTATGAAAGATTGCGCGAATCAATTGATTTGCATGATAGCTTTGACCAAATAGGCCTCGCTCAAAAGGTAAAATGCATTCTATTTCTAGTCTGTTCTTTGTTTAAGGTGTTCCATGTGCAAGATCCTTATATTGTTTGTTTGGTCAGATTGAGAAACATGAGCTTCTGGAAATGAGACGCGTTGCTGCTTATATTTACAAGAAAGCTGGAAGGTGGAAGCAGTCCATTGGATTGTCAAAGAAAGACAAACTTTACAAAGATGCCATGGAGACAGCCTCACAATCTGGTGACCGTGAACTGGCCGAGGAGTTGCTTGTTTACTTCATTGAACAGGTATGGAACTCTTTATAAGACTCCATTTTTTCACGAATTATGATTTTAGAATGTGAATGCATTCTCTATTTTATGAGTGCATTCTCTTCACTGTTGTTCCCGGCCTGCTGACATTTCTGATAATTCATGAATTTTCTTCCTCAAATTGCAGGGAAAGAAAGAATGCTTTGCATCGTGCCTCTTTGTCTGTTACGATTTGATAAGGCCGGACATTGCCCTTGAACTTGCATGGATGAACAACATGATCGATTTTGCTTTCCCATATCTGTTACAGGTAATTTTTTTGTCTTGTTCCTAACTGATTCTTGCGTGTAAATGGTTGTTGAATTCTTTCATCAAGTCTTGCTTACATGGTTGAGAACCTTATGTAACCTTCGTTGTACAGTTTATCCGTGAATACACTGGCAAAGTTGATGAACTGGTTAAAGACAAAATTGAAGCACAAAAGGAGATCAAGGCTAAAGAACAAGAAGATAAAGAAGTTATTGCACAGCAGGTAAACACTTTGAAATCATCTTATAAATTTGCATGCCTTCTGGTTCTAATCACGTCAATCCCCGCATTCCCAATTTACGGTTTGTTCTTTTCTTACACATCGTTTTGCATAATGACTTCTTGAGTTAACTTGCTTTGCAGAACATGTATGCTCAGTTGCTGCCTCTTGCTTTGCCTGCACCACCAATCCCTGGTATGAGCGGGGGTATGGGAGGAGGGTATGCTCCACCGCCACCTATGGGAGGAATGCCACCGATGGGCATGCCGCCTTATGGCATGCCACCAATGGGCAGCAGCTACTGAGGCATGTTGAACTATCCCTTCGGAGTTCGATGTTTGATTTTGATGTTTTAGTCAGTAGGGCAACCTATTTGATAGAACTTACCATTTAGTGTAATTTTATGAGGTTCACGAGCCCGTCACATGGTTTTATTTTGTTCTTCTGTTGTTTTATTATGGGTTGGAAAGGGTGCAGCTTAAATAATTGTGTCATAGGTTGTGTGGATATGTTCTGTTGTCTTGTAATATTCTTTTGTAGCAGAGGCATTTTTGTTTTGGCTGGTGGTTGAGGGCGAGCTTAGAATTTTCTCCTCTGTATTATTTGTTCTGGTTTTTCGAACCTGCCCGAGTCCGAGTATAATACAAAACAGTACACTCATCATTTTGGTATTGTGCTTTTGTTCCATTTTTTCTTGGTGTGTATTTGTTCCAACGATTTGTTTTCTGGTGGAAGCATGATCTAAAATATCCATAATATCCCGATATATTCATCGAAATTTTCGTGTTTTTGGACTAACGATATTTTTTTGGACTACCAATATTTTCAATATTATCGATATTTTAGACATTGCTAAGTCACTCATGTATCTTACCATGCAATGTATAAAGTCTAAAATATTGTATTAATTCATTGTATATAAATGATTATGGTGTGTTTAAATTTCTTTCATTAATTACTATATATTATCTACACTCACAATGTTTGCCAACTCGTTATATAATTAACTTAAATAAGTTATATCTATCATGCAATGCATTTCTTTCCAATTTTTTTGTGATAAATTAATAGATAATTGATTAAATAAACATCCTGTAAAGTTTCAATAAAAATTTCTAAGTTTTTCTTACTATTTTCGTGGTTTTTATTCAATTTATATTGATATTGATAATATTCCGATATTTCCATTGAAATTTCTGTGTTTTTGGACTATTGATATTTTTGATATCATTGATATTTTATACCTTGGGTGGAAGTGAGGCTTTTTTGAACGATTTCTGAATCGGTCTTTTGTATGTCATGGACCAAAGTATCAACTCCGGTGGTAGAATTCGGAATAATCCGACGGTACAAGTTGGCGGTTCATTTTGTTTCGGTGTGTTTACGTTTTCTCTTTTTGGTTCTGTCAAACGATAAATTTTGTTTGATTAGACATTAGATAAACCATCAACATGGTTTGAACTCACGTTGTCATGTAATGGCTCAACACCTCAAATTTGAGTCTAAAATTCGAAACTTACATGAGTTTTAACATTTGGAGCAAAATTTTCAGGGACTTGGGAAGCATGGAAAGCACTGCTACAACCAAAACTGACCCCTTCAATCAAACACGGCATTATCTCGCTAGACCCGAATCCAAACTTAAATCATATATCATGAACTCGAAAGAGAGTGAACCCTTAAATCAGTTGCTTCTACATAAATACTGTTATGATAAAAAAAAATACTTGCAAATTATGATAAAAAAATACAAATTTTCGAATTAACCATTCCCCTCTCAGGGTTGTGGTCATCAAACAAGTCCTTCCGTTCTGAACACACCTGACCTTTGTAATACTACAACGACTTCACAAAGAGTTATGTAAGGAGCCGTTTGATAGTCATTTTGTTTTGAGTTTTGAGTATTTGGTTTATGGTTTCAGTTTTCAAATTTTTAAAAACTAAAAGTTGAAATTGTATTTAATAATTACTCTCAGTTTTCAGTTTTTCAAAAAAATAATTGAACATTAAAAAGTGAAAATTTTAGGCCAAATTTTAAAAACTCAATAGAAAGTAATTCTCTTTTTTTTTTTGGTTGAACAGTAGAAAATAATTCTCAGTTCTTACTAAAAGTAACTAGCAAAAAAAATTTTAGTTCTCATTTTCCAAAAATGTGAACAAAAACTGAAAACGAGATAATTATCAAACGGCCGTACAGTTTTTATCCTTTCAGTTTGGTCCTTTCGGGCCTCCCGAGTCACTGAAGTTCATTGACCTGCCACTCTCTCCCACCAAAAAAAACAGAAGAAATTCTACCAATTTCCACATCGATTTCTCTTTATCCAATTTCCAACCCCCAGCGACATCGATCGACTGACGCAAATGGCTTACCAATTCGTTATTTGGGGTCTGATCACTGTTCTCTCGGCCCTGATCCTGAGAATCTCCCTCCAAATATCCGCCGGCAGAAGCAACAGAAAACGCGCTGTCGCCTTCTTCCACCCCTTTACCAATGACGGTGGTGGCGGGGAACGAGTCCTCTGGTGCGCCGTCAAAGCCATCCAGGACGAAAACCCCTCCCTCGACTGCCTCGTCTACACCGGCGACCACGACGCTTCCCCTCACTCCTTGACCGCCCGCGCAGTTGACCGCTTCGGCGTCAACCTCCTCCGCCAACCCAAGGTTGTCTCTCCCTCTTCCTTTCTCTCTGAATTCAATTTTTATTCATTAATTTCGGATTCGAATTGAAGGTGGTGCATTTGAGCAAGAGGAAATGGATCGAGGAGGCCACCTACCCGCGGCTGACGATGATTGGGCAGAGCCTCGGCTCTGTCTACCTCTCATGGGAGGCGTTGACGAAGTTCACTCCAACTTTCTACTTCGACACCGCTGGCTATGCCTTCACGTACCCAATTGCCCGGCTGTTTGGTTGCAGGGTTATCTGCTACACCCATTACCCCACAATCAGCTGCGACATGCTCTCCCGGGTCCGCCGGCGGAGCTCCATGTACAACAATGACGACTTCATTGCTCGGAGGTAGGCCTATTTGTCAATTTTCACATTTGCTAATTGCTGGTCATGAAACCCATTGAAACAAAATGGGTGGAAGATGATCACTTTTCGCATTTTTTTTGTTTAGCCGAAAAAAGAACTTGAATTGAATTGAATTGTTGTTGTAGCAATTTGTTGTCCAGCTGCAAAGTCGTATACTACAATTTGTTTAGCCGGATGTATGGGATTGTAGGATCTTGTGCTCATCTGGCTATGGTTAATTCGTCATGGACTCAGTCCCATATCGAAAAGCTCTGGAGCATTCCACAACGGACTAAGCGGGTCTACCCTCCTTGTGATACTTCTGGACTTCAGGTTTACTACATTTTACTTGGAAACTTGGTTTTTGATTTAAAAGCTTGTGTGTAATTGTGTAAGATGAGCTGCAAATGTGCAATTGCCTTTCTGTGTGATGGTTAACAAGTTGCTGTCTGTGTAGGCGCTTCCCTTGGAAAGGCCAGCTGAACCGGCTAAAATTATATCTGTTGCTCAGTTTCGGCCAGAGAAGGTGGGCATATAAACCTTATGAGCACAAGGTACTAAGATTTTGGTGGCTCATTTATAGGGCCTTTATTTGTTGTGGCTATTGGCTAGTCCTTCTTAATTGATTGTTCTGTTCTCAGGCACATGGTCTCCAACTTGAGGCCTTTGCAGTTGCCATAGGTAAATTAAATGCACACTTCCCCAGGCCTAAGCTTCAGTTTGTGGGTAGCTGTCGGAATAAAGCTGATGAGGAAAGAGTCCAACGTTTGAAGGATAAAGCAATTGAACTGAAGGTGGACGGGGATGTAGAATTTCATAAAAATGTCATGTACAGGTCTGTGTTAAGGATTTCATGTTATGCATCCTTTCATGCAACTTATAAGTAATGTGTTTCTCTTGCTCTTATTCTCTATTGAACCATGCATGCATGGTGTGTTCACAAGTTTAATATAGTTGGCTGGCTTGAGTTGTTGATTGCTTCCTATTTGAGGTTTGAACCATATCAGTAGTGAGACTAATATATACGGCATATAATACTTCTGGAAAGGACTCGGGTAATTAGCATAGTTTCCGCTTTAATCAAGTGAACCCTGTTTGGATTGTGTTATCACATTCTCAGCCTTGGTTAGTTTTCACATCTACAGGGACTTGGTTCAACTTTTGGGAGGAGCCATTGCAGGAATCCATTCAATGACGGATGAACACTTTGGCATAAGTGTAGTGGAGTATATGGCTGCAGGAGCCATTCCAATTGGTGAGCATCTAAAGTTATCTGTCGTTTGAACCGAACTTTTTATCTTACCTTAATGATTTTTTTTTTCCAGAGGTCGCACTTGGTGCGATGGCAAGTGCCTTCGCCTATGAGCGGTAGGTCTCGGGTTCGAGACTTGGGAGCAGCCTCTCCATAAAATGGGGGTAAGGCTAGCTGACATTCACCTCTCCCAGACCCTGCGTAAAACGGGAGCCTTGTGCACTGGGTACGACCTTTAATGATTTTTTTTTCCCTGTGCTGATATTCTTCATGTTTTCCCTTCTTGCCTCAGCACATAACTCTGCCGGCCCGAAAATGGACATTGTTTTACAGGAAGATGGATGGCAAACGGGATTTCTTGCCCGTACTGTGGACGAGTATGCAGATGCCATTCTCAATGTCATAAAGATGCCAGAAAATGAGAGGCTGGAGATGGCTGCAGCTGCGAGAAAACGGGCTGGCAGATATTCGGAGCAAAGATTCTATGAAGATTTCAAAGCTGCAATCTCTCCAGTACTCACTTAAATGGACTTCACATCAATCACAATATACTTGTAACTTAACAGAGGAGCTTTTTGCGTGGGACTTCAGTTGTATTGCATATTTTGTTACCCTGAGTCTTACCAGTAACTGATCAGATTGTGCTACTGTAACTCTAAATGTTTGGTAGTATCGGCTTTCACATCATATACCAGCATTCGATATCCACCGTCTACTACTCTTCACGACGCTCTTTATTTTCGGGTTCTCTGTCTTTCTTTTCCATATTATTATGGAGAAGTTGAGTATAATTTTTTTATTATTTTTGATTTTTTAAAAAGCGATATTATCTACATTAAGGGGTGGGGAACTAAGCTGTACAATGAGCTAGCAATAATATGGTTCGAATTTGTCTTTGGCAAGAATCGAATCTACGACCTCACTAACAAGTAAAGAGGAATACTACTCGATCGTAGTGCTGAGTGTCAAGTTGAGTATACTTCTAGTCTTGTTGAACAAGTGATAATAGTGGTGGATAGCATCTTATAACACATTCCACTGTGTCGAGGGTTCAAACTCTCTCTCCCTCTTTCTACATCGTAGCATAGATAATAATTGGATTATCGTTTGTAATAGAAAAAAAATAAAAGTTTAATGTACAACATTGGAAGATGCAAAATCTAACCAAAACTTGTTAGGGTTGTGAAATCCAAAGTCCATTTTTATTTTTTATATACTCCTCTCAATTTTTGGCAGTCGGATCGATGAATTGAAGAAGATTAACGAAAAAAAATTAATAAGGGTGTGTTGGAGGTGGTAAAAATTAGTGTGAATTGCAGCACTTTCCAACTTGTTATTCTATCAATAAACGACATGCCGTTCCGGTATAGAAAACCAAATGTAAGAACGTGGCAGGCACGCGCTAGGATTTGGTGTGGTGGCATCAAATTCTCATCTCCATTTCCTTGGATTACAGACCATCCACACCATTTGCTCGCACCACAACGCAGACAGTGAACAGTAAGCTATTAGCTCTCTCTTTTTCTCTCTAAATGGTTGGGCCGTAGACGACCATAAAAATGGCTGTTTCATTCCACTCGGTGCCGGGCTTCAATTCCACGGTAACTTCCATGTTCCCTCACCTGCTCCATCATATCTTCAACAGTTTCTACCTTTTCTTGATTTTTATATTTTCCTTTTCAAAGTTTTTGTTATTCTTCTTTGTGTTGAAATATATTCAACTGGATATGCACTTTAACAGCGAGGGCGGAGCTACGACATAGTGTGGCTCCGCCTTCTTGGTTTGGAGCAATCATTTTCTAGGTTGCTTGCTTTTTGTATGATAAATTAGGTAGGGTGGTGCTATCCGCACACTCTTTCTTATCTATCATGCTCTCTTTTAATTTTTATATATTCTTTGATTAATTTGATTCGACGGTCGAAAATTTAGAAGAGTATGTAAAAGGTAAAATGAGACATGTGAACAACACCGCTCAATTAGATATTAGATGGTGTTAAAGGAAGAATCTTGGTTCAAGGAGTGAAAAAGCTACATGAGCAGAGAGAAAGTTACCTACACTAGGATGGCACCGTCATGGTATTCAAAGCCAATCATGCATTGTGAGAAGGGTAAGTTCGTGGCAGTGCGTGATTGACTTGGTATACTGATGAGAAATTAGATGGTCAGGATAAGGCTTTCTTGTATTGGTTTAAGGTTTTAACTGTGAAGAGCTCCTGATGAAAGAGATGATTGTTACAGTCCATCGTGCCTTTAAATTAGACATTGTTGCTTTACAAACTATGTTGTATGTAGCGGAATAGTTTCATGCTTTCGTTGCTCATAAACTGGTTCAAGGGAACTGTTTCTAGCCATGAAAGAGATGATTGTTCAACAAAATATCTGCGCTTTTGTTATCTGTGACGAAAGACGAAAATATCTCAGCTTACAGTTTTATGTTTTGTTGTGGTCCATTCCAAATATCTTGGAAAGTGGATGCTTCCCTCGTTAATTTATGGAGGTTTTTTTGTTCTTCTCCGTTACAAGTTACAGGCTAAGTACCAGAATGTGTCAAAAGGTTCTGTTGGAGCTTCTATACCAGCGGCCACCACCCAATTCACATCCTTCTTTGGAGCGTTTGGACAAAGGAGGAATGTAAGCGAAAAACGATGGGGCTTATGTCTTTCAGTTGCAGATAGCAATCAGCTCACCACAGACACTGGTGTCATTGATAAGTCCGGATCTCAAACTTCTGATGCTCCCAATGGCTCTTTGGATACTTCAAATCCAAAGCAGGAGGCATCTCTTTCACCTGACGTTCAACCCAAGTAAAAAAGATCGCCGCTAACAGCAAGGGAGAGATTGAGGGTGGCCAAGGTTCTCAGTCGTTACACAGACTCAAAGCCATTGAAAAAATCAGCTAGGGGCAAGAATGTATTAGATGCTCTCAGAGACAGCGAGCGTGGGAAGAAAAGGTCCGGACTTCCAGAGGCCCCTACAAACATTTTTGACGACAGCAAGCGAGGAATGCCTAAGCAGGGCCTAACTTGGGATTTTCCAGGGGGCAATGATCTGTTTCTAATTCTCTTTTCATTTGTATTTATCAGCACGGTGATGTTCGCTACAACGTTCGTAGTTTGGAAACTTGGTGCCATCCATTTCAATGAAAATTGAGACGGACTGCGGTTGGCATCCCGGAGTTTTGCACCAGCCACCTTGATGCTTCTGTGTACTGAAGTTCTCGTCTTCCACAGGACTAGGGTTTGAAACCATTGTAGGCAAGATATACATATCAATGTAAAAAGATTTGCAGGGTTAATATTTGTATCATCAGTATTCAACATCTACTGCAAGTATACTTTTGTAGCTTCATTGGAGAGAAACATATGGTAAAGCTATTCAGTTCCTTTGAACTTCTTCCCTTGTTTTTCACTTCAACTACTTCAAAATTAACAAGAAAGTATTTCACTTTGTATTTTTGTTAAGATTAACATTGACTTTAGGGCTCATTTTATTTTATTTGTGTACTAGGTTTGCTTTGTTGACACACTCAACTCATGAGAGAATGTAAACTTACCTCCTTCAAGAGATATAACCTATAACTACAGATGTTGTCTTGCCATGCACCTAAACATAAAACTTTTTAAGATTGATCAGAGGAGAGAGACTTACCTACACTAGGTAGGTTAATAGATTTCAAACTAATAATCTAATGTCATGAGTGTAAATTTTTTCACACATCAATATATTATTAGTTTGAGATATCGCAGTAGTGCTGGTTCCAATGTAAATAAGTCGTTCTCCCATCAAACACCCATGACCATGAGTTCATCTATGACCAGAGCCAAGACCAAAGTGGCCAACCCACTGGAGCCATTTCATACTCAGATTTATATCGTGGCTCCTGCCGACGATACATTATTTAGGAAAAACGATGAACCAAACAAATGGGACCCAAAAGACATGCATTCGTGATATCAATACTAGAAAAAAGAAAAAAATTGAGGGAAATAAAGAGTAGGTTGAGCAGATGTCGTATCAATCTTTAAAGACCCTTTCTATTTTTTACAATTAATAGCGTCAATAAGTTAAATAATTAATTTAAAAAGAAAAAAAATCAATGAATATAATTATATTTAAACTGTCCTCATAATACGTAAATATAATTATATTTTGCCACAACAATAAAACGTCATCCTCCATTAACGCTCTTTTACACTGTTTGAGTGTAAAATCAAGGGCCCTATATATATGTACGTATCCTGCCATTGTTTATTGCTATTTCAAGCTCTTTTGTCTGCTTGTGTAGTACCAACAAACCCACGAGAGAAGAAGACAAACAAAGTCACTAAAAATGTGGGTATAGATGGAGATCTCACAAAACCCTAAAATGATCTTGTCTGACGGTACGTGAGAAATGTTGTGTTGAAAAATCGTCTATGGAGAATTCCGAGACCATACCATATATGGTTAGAAGCTTTTATCAACGGATTAAAAACGTAACATGTTAGAATGTTGTTAAAATTGAAAACTATTCAACTCGATAATACTTAACAGTTGTAATTGACTGTTAGAAAATAGAATATGTACGTTGCTTGTGTTGGGAGAAAACTATACAATTTAAATAATACTTAATAGTTCTAATTGATGTTTGAAAACATAGCACAAGTCATAGTGTCACGATGAGAAATCTAGAGCATTCAACATGAACTATACTTAACGTATTGCCTGAAGCATAAGGTCATCTTCAACCGATGGCTGGGCAAATGTCTCGTTTTAGCCATCTGGCCCTTCAAGATCCTCTAAGATATTAATATTTTAATGAACAGTACATGATCATATTTGTCTCCGTCTCCAACCGAGGGCCAAAGAGCTCGTTTTAGCCCTGTCACAAAAAACCGTCGACAACCGAGGGCCAGAGGGCCATAAGGCCAAACATAATTTATTATTTAAAAATTACAAATTAAAATAAAATGAAACAAATTTTGTGAAATAGAACTTATAGGAAAAAATGGAATTTAAAAAAAATATGAAACAAATTTTGTAAAATAAAAGTTATAGGAAAAAATAAAAGTTATATGAAAAATTTTGTACATAAAAAATAATAATAAAACTGTAAAAAAAAAAAAATTCAAATGCAACGGCTAGTCAACTAGCTGTTGCATTTGAATTTTTTCTTAAGAATCCTGTCGGTTATAACCGACAGAAAATCCAACACATTTAAAAAAAATTTGGCTAGCCTAGGGCTGGCTGGAAGTGGCCAGCCCTCTAGCCCTTTGGCCTTTTCTGATTTCGTGGGGCCCTCTCAGATTCCACAGCTCTCTGGCCTTGCCCTCGGTTGGAGATGGTTTTCGGCCCTCTGGCTCTTTGGACCATTCGGTTGGAGATGGCCTAACGAGTGAGAAGAAGGATACAATTATTCTACAATATTTAACGGTTCTAATTGACTATATAAAAAACATAACATGTTATATTATCCTGGTAAGATGAAATTGTTCAACATAAGCAATCCTTAGTGGTTCTAATAAATTGACTAATACTATTACAATTTATCATATGAGATACATTCTATGTGTGAGAGTGGAGTGCGAAAATTGTCATGTTCTAGTTGTGGGGATGAAAAAGCACCATTGGAGTCTGGAGAGGTTTCGATAGTGGTTGCTGAAAGCAACCAAGTCAGTACCCAGCAGCTAGCTGTATGTCACTTGGAATTGAGTGGTGTGGCAGCGTGCTTTGTAGGCTAGCTAAAGGTGTTTTAGAGTAAGTTAAAACAGCCTAACAGTGCTTATATAAGGAATTAAATATACGAGCGTTGTATATCTAAAGGCTGAAAAGCATTGTGCTAATATGCTCAAATTCTCATTTAAAATCATAATATTTCGTCTCTAACTAACATTCATGCTAGTACTTGTTTTGGGTTTGGATAAGGATCAAGTTACAAAGCACAGATTAAGACCATGTTAATATGTTATACCCCTAGAGTTGATGATCCCTCCAACCCGACTATTTAGAAGTTGTTTAATTAGTGCAACTGTTGTATGTAGCAGTATCTTCACAATTGGTGAAATTGGGTGAGACCAACATGTAAGTAGTCCAAGGCTTCCCAAGACTTCTCGTACAAGTTTGTTCTTTCTTTTCTTTTCTCGTTCTAGTGCCATTTATTTCAACTCGAGTTATTTATTCTTCAAACCCTAGTAATGGTGGAAAAGGTAACAATAGCCTCTCCTTTTTTTTCTTCTTCTGTTTCATGATAGCCTAGTTGGAAATAACCATCTTAAGGTGTGGAGGTGAGAGGGGACACAAAAAGAAAAGAAACATAAAAGATGATGCCTACATCCCATTTGAGTATTGTGAAAATTTTATAATGACAAAGACGAGAGACCTAATTTAGTTTTTGCCCTAGGGCCCCTAATTAGCCAAGGCCGGCCTGGTCGACAACTGCACTTAAGAATTTTTCCTACTACTGTTATCAAGTCAATCCATCTAATGCCATTGTCGGTACTGTTTTACTTAGTTGGATGTACAGTTGAGCTACTGCCAAATGCGTATTACTATCCGATTCACTAATTACCACGGAACCCTAAAGAGAAAGAGAGAAGAAAGAAATTGTACTGAGGACTTGAGGTGACAGCCGGATACATCCAAAAGCAATTTTCATTTGACCAAGTGTAAGGGCTTGGTGGAAAAATACCAATCACACATTATGAATAGTAGATCTTAGAATATGTGAGATTAAAATCAAGGAGGGATTGGAGGACTGAGGTTTTTAGAATACGGTTTACTAGTGTGTTTTCTGGCCATGGATTACAACTGTTGTTATGCTGGGACTGGAGGGGTAAGCTGGCCACAGCAGTACAAATCTGGTGCAGCTCCAGCTGCTGCTGCAGTAAGCAATGAGTCTTCTTCCAGCTTTCTGGTTCCACGGCCTCCTCCTCCTCCTCATGTGTCGAGCACTAATCAATTCCAGTTTTGTGGGTTGCCGCCTAACTCGTGGTCTTTGACGGCAGCTGACGGTTTTGAAGACGATAGAGATGCATCTGCTTCGAAGAGCCACAGGCAGGCTGAGAAAAGGCGCAGAGATAGAATCAGTGCACAGCTTGCTACTCTTAGGAAACTCGTTCCCAAGTCCGACAAGGTATATATAATGCCATTTTCTCTTCTATTTGTGGAAATTATAATTAACGGTCTAACAACATAATATAGAATATCTCGCACGCACACGACAGTAACACTTGGCCTAGTTCATTTCTCCCTCTTTCTCGACATTCTGCCTCCTTGATGATTCAGTCTAATAACGTAGCATAATATGTCTCGTGTACAGAGCCAGAAATTTCTTCTAGCAGGGGCAATTGAAAACAACTAAGAAAATCTTATTATAGTATGGTTATACACAATATGATATTAATGATGGTTTCAAATGATGATGTATCACTATTCTAATGTTACAAAAATTTCAATATAGTAGTGGAAAGTGTGGCAAAGTGATGAGAAAAAAATAAGTACATGATAGGAAGGAGAGGATTTTTTTGATTTGAATGATAGAACAAGAGCACTATTGCTTAAATAATATTTGATATGGAGTATAAGTAGAATGAATGTATGTTGGATATTAGATACATATATTTTCTTCAAAGATAACCATGTATATTATATAATTGTAGTATGCAACTAAACAAATGAATTACTTGAGTGGGGCATCTGCCCCCAGTGAGCCTTCTTTGGCTCCGTCCATGCATGTACGCATATAACACTTTGCCTAGTTCATCTCTTCCTCGTTCTCGACATCTGCCTCATTAATGATTCAATCTAACAACATAACATAATATGCTCTTTCTTTTTCTTGGTAGTCTAGCTAATTCATAATTCATAGTCTAACAATATAAACATAACATGCCTCATCATGTCGAGATAAAACTTTGGCTCATTCATGATTGACAGTTTCCGACAACATAACATCTCTTCTGCATGCATACATGACTTGACAGTCTCAACTAATTCATGATTAACAATTTGACAACATAATATGCATGTCTCGCAACATGAAAACTTTCCTCATACAAGTTGATCTTTGTTTGTGTAGATGGACAAAGCGGCTCTATTAGGAAGCGTGATCGATCATGTGAAGGAACTAAAGCGAAAAGCGGTGGAAGTGAGCGAAGCCTTCATAGTTCCAACCGAAGTTGATGAAGTAACAATCGACTGTGATCCTGCTTATGGTGTAACCTCCACCACTACAAGTAGCACTAACATAAACAGGGGCAATTTTCTCATAACGGCATCCGTTTGCTGCGACGACCGGCCGGAACTCTTCTCGGAGCTCGTTCAAATCCTCAAAGGCCTAAAACTGACGGCGGTAAGAGCCGACATGGCAAGCGTCGGAGGCAGAATCAAAAGCGTTTTGGTGCTTTGTTCTAAGGATGGCGAAGAAGCAGTTTGCTTAAGCACTCTCAAGCAGTCCCTCAAGTTGGTTTTGAGTAAACTTGCCGCGTCGCCAACGGCGCCAAACTGTCGAATTCGAAGCAAGAGGCAGAGGTTTTTCTTTCCATTCCAAGACCCAAACTAATTAAGAAGATTTTGGAGTTCTATGTGAATCAAGTGCTTTCAGTACTTGGTCTATTTTTCTTTTTTCTTTTTAAAATGAGAAGGATTTACATGACACAGATATATTGTTGTATGCACTGTGGTATTAGTGCTAATAATATAATGATGTGTCATTTTTCTCCATATAGTATTGCATTATTGACACAGAACGTCACAATAACAATATATGTGTCATATAAATTGCTTTCCTTTGGCAATAAGGCAGAAGGATGTGGCTTCCTACCACAAGACGTGGAGTTCATTGACAGATACCATATAGCTTACACTTTCCTCAACTGATCGTATATAATTATTCGACTGAACAATGAATGATGTTTTGCCTACTTCTGTTCAGTCTCATGTGTTTGGTGGCTATCAGGCATCTTGTCATTGTAATTAGTAAGGAATTTGATGGCAATTATTTGTATTATTAGTACCTAATAAACTCTGTGGTATGTGCTCCCAATTTCTAGATTAAGGAGGGCTATAGTTCTATTTCACCTGGTGTCAAAGCTCAGTAATTATAATCTGGTTATGAAATGCTACAGGTTGAGCAACAAGTTGGGGTCATTGACTCGTTGGCCCATTAACTTGGACTTTGGAGACTTGTAGTGCTTGTCAAAGGGTTTGCTATTGACAAGGCTGTGATGGGAAATCCAAATAATATTTTCACGAATGGCAAGAGAGGTTTTAACGTAGAATTTTTATGTTTAGAGGAGATATATCACCAGATTAAGAGTTAGGCGGAAAAACATCAGTAAGTCCATCTTGTGCATGTCAAAGAGAAAAGTGAGTACCTGCACCAATTTGAAACTAAATTCAATCTAATTTAATCAATGCTACGATTAGTAGATGATTTGAACTTGTGACATTTTCAATGTTGAAAAGAGAAGTACTATTAAATCAAATTAATATAACCAGTTGAATCGTGCATATTTTCCCTTATTGTGAACTGAAGCTTTTGTTGATTGAATCTAAATTACAATCACGAATTGATAACACAAATTAAATTTAAGAATCTTAGATTCTCAAACACCAGACTTGAATATAATCCTCAAAAATCAAATACACAAATCAAAACAATTACGATGTAGATTAGGTTGCACGTGTGCGGTGTACCTAACTAAAGATTGGTCTCACATGAGATGGTGTTTGAAAGATGTAAAGTTTCACGTCAAAAACTTGACGAAATGAAATACAATTTGTACCGAGTAGTTTTATTGCTATTTACATCGATAACCTCCATTTTTTGCTAAAATGTGCACCTAGTTAAGTTGGCAATTTTTCAAATCGAGGCCTTTTTAGGAGGTCCCGATGGAGTCCCAAGCAAATTCCTACCCCTTCATTTTGGTGAAATTGGGTAATCAATAAGTTTGATATTGCCAAACTGTATCATGTCAGCATTTGAGGTTTAAATAAAAGATTATATGACTAATTATATCTAGCTACTCCACTTTCTTTAGGTTAAAACAAACTTTGAACTCTGATGCTATACAGTGTAGTAGTTGAATGTGATTATGTAATGTCTAAGTGCTAGAAAATAAAATTAATTTGATCACCAACTTCTCCATTGCAACTCCACAAAACTACCGTAGAAAATAGTTGCCTTGCAGTTTGTGCTTCCGTTCGTTCCACTAAGAAACGGATAGCTGTTACACCTTACAAGCGATGTTGTATGAGTACATTAAGCACCTTCGTACAGCTACCAGTAAACTCCTAACAGCTACCATAAGCATAACCAAATAAGCATAACCAGTAAACTCCTAACAGCTACCATAAGCACCTTCGTACGAGCATAAGAACCTCCGTACAAATCGCCACTAAGACAACAAATGCAGCAAACCTATACTGAACACACGCAATGTCATCGTCGGTAAGCGAAACCACAAAGTACCATTGTTGACAAGCGATGCCACATCATTGCTAGGCAAGACATTATCCGCTAGACGCGGTATATACGAAACATACACTAATCCGGAACGGAGTCCATCTTTGGCTTACCTCCACCTGCCGAGTTCTTTCCACCTGAGACGATACCGCATCTGTAAGATCCACCGCTCCTACAAACCAAGCAAGGCAAAGCAGCCACAAATCTGGCCAGGTAAGGGCGGCGCCGTTGTGAATCAGTCAAGAAGAAAAACACCGTTGGAACAAGCCGTGATGAGGTGTCTGATTCACCAACAACCAATAAACCAACCACAAGATGAAAGGGAGGGGTAGGGAGGCGAGGCAGAAGGAGCGGGAGGTGGAGGGGAAAGGAGTCGTTTCACTTTACTGGAGGGACTTGCTAAAACTTTTTATGGGAGAAAGAAGATGTACGAACACGTAGGTGTATTTTACAGGGATAACTAGTTTTATGTATAGCCTTAGTAATACGGTTTAGTAGTATTTCTCTTGACTTGTAAGTGAAACGTCTTAGATTCGATTCTTGCCAAATGCAAAGTTGAACCACATTATTATGGCAACCCATTATAAGACTTAACTCACTCTCCCACCTTCTTAGTGTAGATATTATCGTTTGTTAAAAAAAAAGAACAACAAAACAACTCATTGTAAAACTTAACTTACTCTCCCACCTCTTTAGTGTAGATATTATCGTTTGTTAAAAAAAAAAGAACAACAAAACAACTCATTGTAAAACTTAACTTACTCTAGACTATCATTTGTTAAAAAAAAAACAACACAAAACAAAACTAGTTTCATGTATGCAATCATGATAAATGACATGAACGCCTTTGACGGACATGGATCCTCTTCGGATCCATGTATCCTAATCATAGGAATCCACCAATCTGGACTATTGAAATTTGATTCAATGGTTAAAGTTATTATAACTTTAAAGCAGAACCCTGTTTATAGCTGTCAAATTTCAATGATCTAGATTAATGAATCCCTAGAATCAGGAGACATGCATCCCTGAGCGCTTTTGACAAATGACCCTCCTCAAGTTTGAGTTCCAAATTGCAACACAACCTGAAGTTTGTAATTGCATAAAACTAAAACGCATGTGCCATTTGTGCAATTTTTCCATCTTTCTTTTGATTAGAGTGCTAATTATTAATTAATCTCCCGAATATTTGGAAGCGTAAAGAATGAAGGGGGAAGGTGCAACTTCCTACTAAAAACACAACAACAAAAACCCACTTCTTCTTAAACCCCTCCCTCTCTAATCTAATCTCATCTCTAATTTCAAGAGAAGTTTCCAAAAAAAAAAAAACAAAGTTCAAATTAAAAAATGAACACAAAAAACAGAAAGAAAGAAACGCGTTTGGAGTTAATTTCCGTTATGTGAAATCAGAGCGGTTTTACGGTTCATGCATGTCACCACCGACCCCCCTCCATCTCTTCCACCGAACGGTTAAAACCCACTCATCAAATCAAAACTCCCCTCTCTCTCCCATTCGAATCCAAATTTCCAATCTCTCTGTTCTTATGATCGCATGACGACGATGGGAGCGATGAGCAGTGAGGATCGCGTGACGGGGTCGTGGAACCCGCAGGAGGACGCCACCCTGATCAAATTGGTGGCTCAGCACGGCCCCAGCAACTGGTCCCTCATCAGCACCGGCATTCCCGGCCGCTCCGGCAAGTCCTGCCGCCTCCGCTGGTGCAACCAGCTCTGCCCCACCGTCCAGCACAAGCCCTTTTCGCCTCAGGAGGACTCCATTATAATCCAGGCCCACGCCCTCCACGGAAACAAGTGGGCCACCATCGCCCGCCTCCTTCCCGGCCGCACCGACAACGCCATCAAGAACCACTGGAACTCCACTCTGCGGCGGTGGCGGCGCCAACTCGCCAAGTTGTCTTCCGAGTCGTCCTGTTCCGACTCGGCGGCCGCGCACGGGGAAGAGCCGGACTTGAAGCGGCAGTGCCTACGCGCGTCGCCGGAGCATGAGAGTTTGAAGGCGGACGCGGGAGGGGAGGGAGTGATAGTCAAGACGTCGCTGACGCTATCGCCGCCTGGTGAGAATGCGGAGAACGATGTCGCTGTGAAAAGTGAGGAGGAAGAACACGATCGCGAAGCGGTGGACAATAACGACGATGGGGAGAAATGTGCGGTGGAGATGGATGAGACGTGTTTGCTGACGATCATGCAGCGGATGATAGCGCAGGAAGTCAGGAATTACATCTACGGCTTACGGCCCGATGGTGGGCCCACATTTGGACTGCACTCCGCGCATCAAAACGAAAACGACGCGTAACGTCGATTACTTGGAAGGTTTCATTTTTCAATATTTTTCCTTTTTCTTTTAGTTTCTTCGGTTGGGTGAAATTTCGGTTTCAAAATCTTGGTGAACCTGGAAACCTCTCGTATGCAGTGTAATGCTTTTACTTGCGGGCACTAGAAATACAAGAGATTAATATGCCACATTGAAAAGTACGATGGGTTGAGACGTAACCACATTGAATAGAACAACATATTGGGGCGTAGCCACATTGAATAGAATGCATGTGATGCACCACGCTCTAATCCCGCAGAGGAAACCTAATACTAATATGGATTTAGATGTGACGTAAACCGAAACTACGAGAACAAGCATCTGCATCGATACATAGAAACAGACCACGTCGGTTCCAAAATGTTTTGATACACATACAGGAGACTTCGGTTGATGAACAATCAACCCAACAGAAACGCTAAAACAAGAACGTTCCAAACCTACGTTTTAGTTAACCACATTTCCTGCACAAAACTACACATCTCATAGCAGAGTTCCGCTCTCAAAATATAACAACGCGGTGCTTTTGTTACAAAAATTCCAGCTTAATGCTTCATTGAAATCAATCAACCTATCCAAAATTTAAAACCCTACACAGAATGAACATCCAATGCGAAGCACACATGTTCATCGACATTGGGGATTCCAAATTTTCGCCATTGGGCGTGCCTAAACCAAAAACCCTGACCAAATTAAGTTAGATCATTACCCAGAACAATGGTGTCAACCAGTCAATCAAAAGGGTATCGGCTCCTAAACCCAACAGTGAACCCTAAACAGATAATTTCCCGTAACATACCCCGCCTATGTCAAACTCTTAAAACACAAATGAATGAAACATTGCATAGCGAAATATAAACAGATTAACATCAAAATATTCCAAATCGCCACCGATGCTATAGGATATAAAAATAAATTATCTGACTGAACTGATTAAAGCAAAACTTGTTCCAAACGATAACACAAAGCGTACAAAACGACTACAAGTTCACTAATGGGGTACTGATTACTTGATTAGACAACAAAACATGGAGACGGAAGCGAAACGACGTCGATTGATGATCGGTGACAGCGAACGAGCAAACTACTTGGATCTCTGTCTCATCTTTCGGCGCTTCCTCTTCAACCTCCTCATGCGCTTCTTCTTCCACTGCAATCACCGCCGTAAAAAAATGCACAGAAAACGAATCAATCAACGGACACAAAGCGAGGACGAACAGAAAGCGTAGGTGATCGGGAGAGATTGAGAAATTACCTTGGCTCTCATGGTGGCGGTAAAACGACGTTCGCTCCCAAACCCTAGTCTTGAAAGCTGCAGAGGACGGAAGAAGATACAGTGGCGTGAGAAGGTTTGGAGTTCAGAGCTTTGCGAGCATTTATACTGGACGGAGAAAACCCTAATGTGTAGTCGGCTTTCATATTTGGGTTGGGCCGATTGGTGCAAAATCTTTTAAAAATCTAGAGGCCCATTATGTATATTTGGGGGAATGAGCAAGATTAGTTGGGCTCACATAGAAGGAATATGGAAAGAAGAATCATATTTGGGAGGGGCTCCAAACTTTAACTCATCGTTGTCTCTCTCTCCCTTCTCCCTCGTGTCTGACCTCCACAATTATGTGAGAATCTGAAGGTAAAATAGTGTCATGTCCACGAAAAAAGAAACCTTATTAGAGTTTATAAGAGGTTGGACTACCTCCATATTGCTAATTAGTTTATGGTGGAATCTCAACTTTCTTTATGTTATCAAAATAAGCTAGCCCACATGTGAGGTTCAACGGCTATACTTGCTCACGTCACTTAATTAGTGCTGTTCTTGTGGACTGGCTGTTGACTGGCCGAGAAAAAACCAATGCTTTTAGCTTAAACGGATTTTCACTGGATCGAAGCCTTTGACGGAAAAAATTGAGGAGTTGAGGAGGCGGCTGGCAGATTAGGATGCCATTGTGGTATATCCCCTGCTACAACCACCAGAATAGACTTGTATTAGATTCTATTATTGTACTTTGCTTCAATGTACACTTTTAATAATATATATAGAATAATTTGGTCATTATTTTTTACACACTCCGACCCGGAATGTCCACCTAGACTTTGAATCGAGCTGTGCTGGCCAACACCTAGAGGGTGACAAAGCCATAAAGTGTAAATTTAAACCTAAAATTGCCTAAATATAAGAGTGCACTTGTGAGCGGGAATGAACCCATTTCACAATTGATGACAAAGCATAAGTAAAGTACAGTAAAGTAGGATAAGAATTATACCATCGAAGGTAACCACGTATACCAAGATTTGCCAACAATTTTCACCAACACGAAAGCTCAGCACTTAAACCTAGAGGGGAGAAAAAAAAAACAAGGGTGAGTGGGCCTAAAAATAAAGTTTTGTAAAAACCTTTTTGAAAACATAATAACCCCTCACTGTAAAACAAGTATAGTTTCCAAAATATACATATTACGTATAGTAAGAAAATACTTACCATAGCTTGCAATATCTCAAGAATTTAATACGACATAATATTTCGTAAATAAACATATGACGTCTGTAATCACATAATCTCGCATAAGCAAACATATCATATCAAGTGCTCATCGACACACGCTGACACACGAGTTCATGCAAAGGTATTCTGACATGAACATGACTCGGTGTAACAATGATATACGCTCTAGTATTACAATCACGTGAAGATTGGCGCTATACGCAGCACATACGAGTCCTAATTACCTATAGCAATCTAGGATAGGGCTGGCACGTACAATGGATCCAAAGTGAGCGTACGGTGCGATGTACACATACAATGTGAAAGATTGGCCCTGACCTGTGCGAGTTCTAACACCAATGCAGCAAATGATGAACATATAACATAAATATAGTTATGCCACAGTGATTCAATAATTCTAGTTAACATAATATTATTTGTACCCATAAATATAATTATAGCATCAATAATAATATGTATACCTGTGCATCCCGTAGGACATAGCATAACTTCATAATTTATATCCATGTGCTAAATCTCATAAACGTCACGCAAATCTAGGCTTATTGTGGAAAACTCTTTATGAAATGTATAAATGGAAACTAACAATTATATATACTATATAAAAGAAAAGACCCACTTACAGTTATTTGCGATGTCACATTCGTTCGAGCTAGGAAGGCCGGAGTCTCCGATAGTCATCGCACCTAAGCATAATATTGGGGACCGTTAGTAAAACTCAACGAAAACAACTAAATTTGGGAAAATGGAGTGCGGATTTGGAATTAGTGCGTCAATTTACGTTAAGAAGGGTCTCGGGCAAATTTTGTAAAAAGTAAACAAAAAGTCAGTGGTCAACCCTAAGTCAACTATGTTAAAACTTTATAATTTCACTAAATGGATGCCAAAAATAGACTCAGGGCATTGAAATTAGCCTAGGAAGGTTTCTAGAAATTTCCGAAAAAGTCAACATAAGTCAACTAACGATCAACAATTAATTTTAACATAATATTCCTTCCTCAAAAGGAATATTCCCTTTCAATCTCTAAGTGGATCCGGGTCGAATTTGGCCCACGGATCTGGGTTTGGGTAAACGGGTCGTGGGGTTGCGTCGGTTCTAGGTTGGGCTTTTTTTCTCTACATCGAATCGGGTTGACCCATTGGGCTCGCGGGTTGTACCCGCCGGACCCAGGAAAGAAGAACACCGGATTCGGGCCGATTTGGCAGGGAAACTCCCGAGCTCCGTTCAAGCTCGATTTTATAACCAAATCTCACCATTTAATTGGCAAAATAAAGCTAAGAGAGTAGAGATTCAAGTTATACCATTTTCATTCACATCCATGGTCGAAAATGGCCAAGAAACGCTTGCAGCTACGGTGAGTTCGCTGGAGATCTGGGTAATAATTTTCCCGAGTTGATTTCTGTATATAAGCTACCAAAAACTCGCGTGTAAGCTTGAAATCGAGCTAGACATTGAAAACTAAGAGATAATGAAGGGGTGCGAGTCCTTACCGAGGTCGAGAAGTGAGGTGGTCGCTGGATTTATTCTTGGTGTTCATATGCAACGAGCACATAGGGAAGATAGTGTAGAGAGTTTGAACGGAGGAGGAAGATGAAGGTCACAACGAGGTGGTCATCGCTGGTGGCGGAGGACCTCATCGGAGTGGTGAGTTACATGGGTCGCCGGTTTCTCTGCGTTTGTAGAAAGAGAGCTTAAAGTTAGATGAAAGAGTTTTAAAATAAGGGAGGTAAGAAGGAAGACACGGGGACAAAGAGGAGAGGAAACCCACGTGCGTGGGTCCCATGAACACAGATATCCCATAAGAAAATCATAAAATAGTAAGAATGACTATTTTAAATAATGAATTTACTAAAATGCCCTTTTACTTTGTAGTTTCGTAAAATCTTCAATGTAGCTCCAAATTTGATTATGCTTGTGCATGCGCGCTCATATTGTCAAGTACTATAAGGATACGCTAAAAGAATATTTTGTACGTTTCACTACACGCTGGTCAACGAAAGTCAACACCCTCACCTCTAGGGGCATTTTCGTCAAATCACTTTTTAAAAATTTATAAAATCGTAAAATTAGGAATAAGTTGTCACAATTTTCATATGTAATATTAAATAAATTAAAAGAAAAAACTAAATCCATACAATTTAATTAATAAAAATAAAAAATAAAAAAATGTTGCACTACGAAATATTTCATTACACAAACAATTAATAAAATTATATTAAATTAAGAAATATACAAACCCAAAAAATTAAAAAACCTTGAGCAAACAATTAGTATAACTAAATTAAAATAAAAAATATTAAAACTAAAAAATGAAAAATGGAAAACCTTGCTCGACGATTTATTTTGTTGTGCAAAAATAAAGAAATTAAATTAAATTAAAAAATAAAAATAATAAAAAACTTTGCGCGATGAAATCTTATTTGGCACGACATATCTGATTTCTTGTAGTAGTGTCTCGAGATATCATTATAAAGTAAATCATCAGCACTTCACTTTTGATCGTGATAGTAAATAAACAATAATTAATTGTTAGACAAGTAATATGATGATGAGGGGATAATGCATGGGAAAAAAAATGTGTTACCTGAAAGCATATTTGCATTGGACCCCTTTAGATTTTGTAAATCAAAACTCGCAATTTGTAGTATTAATTATGTTTTCACACTATATAATTATATATAGCTACAATGCCAAAGTAATACATATCGATTAAGGACTGTTTAAAATTGTTTTCAAGTTTTTTCAGAGATAAATGTACTTTTTGAACAACAAATCAGTAGGAGCCTTGTTAAAAAGATATACACATTTAAAGTTAGTGGCTGGGAACTATTGAAGGTAGAACCGATTAATTTAGCCATCCAGATAATGAAAGCCAGCTTAATCTTTGAAAGGACGTTTTCCAGGACAATTATATTCCATTCAGCTGTATATGTGATATACACGAGCCATATAAAAAAAAAAGAGATGATCGACTACTTGTGTTTTTGAGATGATCGACTGCCTATCTATCTCTCTTATCTTCTGGTGCTGCCATCGATTATGAATGAGCTTAAGTTTACCAGATGTCCAACAAATAAGTTCCAACACAAAATCTTACACACAAATTCTTAATATTTACATATCATATATACCATGCATATAAATTAATTAGAGTATAGAATAGTACCCAATACCTGAATATCGATTGTATGTGATGTGTCTTTGAGTATTTATCAAATATGGAACAGAGCTACTAATTCTCCTTTTGGTATTGCCCCCGAAAGAGGAAGATTACAGTGGGATAGCCCAAATTTATTTAGGGGATCACCAGCCAAAAGCCCTGTTATAAGTGTTTGGGTGAAAACTTGAACTTTGGGCTCAAAAGGAAGTTAGCCCAGAAGAAGGTCTAGAAGGAAGGAAGCTCAAGGTTCAGCCGAAGCCCAGAAGGCAGAATAAGCCCTTTTCCCGACTAAGTGCAGATCACTTGAGCCACTTGCTCACCTGCCTAGAAGTCAAGTGGTGTAGACTAGCCAGCTAATCAGCCCAAAAGTACTTTATAATGGCAGTGAAAGTAAAAAGCTGACGAGTCACTACCCTTCAGCTGCATTCGGGCAAGATTGATGTTTCAGGCAGCCAAGCCAAATCGTCTATAAAAAGGGAAAGAGAAATAAGAGATAAGGACACTCAATCAAACAAACAAACAAACACACAAACTCTGCTCAAGCTAGATTTGCATACGAAGTTGTAGTCAGCATCAAGCCTTTATCCTTTTTAGGATCAACCTTCACCTCAAACCCTTTGTAAAAGCTCTGTTACCTTGTTTGAATCTTGTTGTAGTATCGATTTACTCATGTAAACTCATCTCCCAATTTCCCCTTCTATCTGTCAAACCCTTTGTAAATCACAAAGATAAGAAGTTGCAAGACGATCAGCCTTGCCCGACCCTCTTTGTTTTGTCTTTTCATTCATAAATCTAGTAATATAATGTATACTTCTATTTGTATTCAAGTTATTTCTAGCAAGTTTATGATTAAAAGATGTCTTGGTTCTTGAATCTGGTCGGTTTAGTGGTGCCCAACCATGTAAAAGTAAAGTTGGAATCGTCACTCATAGCATGACCAGATCTAAGTTCTAATCGTTCGGGCATATAAGATTGATCAATCAAAAGTCCTTGGTCTCAAGGCATAAAAAAAATAACTTTATGTTGACTTAACCCATCCACGACAATCCTTGATAACAAGAAGACCGAAGTTACTTGGGGCGCAAGTAATCAGCCTATTTCTTAGTTTTATTTCTGTTATATTATGATTGCCACAAAACGTTTAAGTATAGAATGAATTCAGATGGGAAGCCTCAAGGCCTAACCTAAGGCCCTACAAAGGCACCTATCTAGGTTTGTTCTGCTCTTCGGGCTCAGGTGATTAAAATATAACAGTTGTAATACTCCTGCAACAATGAAAAAGCCACTATATGTTCAAGTACTTGGTTAGCTTTGATTGCGAGTCTCAAGGCCTACATGTAAGGCCCCACAAAGACAACTTTCCTAGCTAATTTGGTCTCTCGGGCATATACAATTAAACGAAACATCTGTTTTACATCTATCATACTAAAGATGGCAGTGCCACGCCTGAACACTTAAAGTTAATTTTGATTGTGAGCCTCAAGGCTTACACTTAAGGCCCCACAAAGGCACCTTTCAGAATTAACTCTGTCATTCTCTTACAGCCCGCCAATAAGTAGAAGCCTGACAGACAATCAACTGGCACCAACCTCTTGGGGAGCTGGGTGCTCGTTGGTCAGGAAACGTCCCCATCGGAAATTCCTCCAAACGAACAACAGGAGAAAGATTTTCATGACATGAGTTTACTGTCACGTGGCGTTCCATACCAATGATATAAGGATATACGTTAATTTTTTTTCACATATCCTTGTGTTTTTTGAACTGGACGTTACAGTGACAGTGAACTTTCTCCTACCATATAGACTAGACACAAGATAGATGATTACAGAGAGAAGATAATTAATACAGGAGACATTACCAAGGACAATATTAATTCCTCGCTGCTCCCCTTGCTCATGTTGAACAGTACGAAAATTTCAATTTTCGGTAATGCATTTCCACATATAATAAATTACACAATGGATCAAACTTTCTGTTGAGATCAAGAAAGAACAATTCTATCTAATTATATATTTATTCGTAACTGTATAGGAAGAAAATTCTAACTAATTGTATCCTTGTATTTCTCAGTTCAGGAAGAAAAAACACGAAGAAAGATCAATCGAATTTCTTCTTTTATCCCAAAACTACATCCTAATGAATAAAATTCCCAATACTATAATCTGAGTTATAAAAATAAAAAATAAAGTCCTAATATTTATGGAAACGTTCCATCCCAAAACTCCACAACACTTTGAGATCTTTATGATAAACTGATGATGAATAAGGAACCTTACCTCAGATGGATCTTTCTGCAACATATTATAAGACCACCATCATTAATCAAATTGACAACCCCTTGTGTTCATCAAGAGCTTCTATCGACCGATCATACAGTAATGTGGTATGCTTCAATCCAATACTAAAATGCACTCTTTCCTCCTAATCAATCTTCGGGTATTTTTGGTTTCCAGAGTTGGATCTTGTAAACCAAAATATATTCTCCATGGAGACCAAAAGTACAATGAATTCTTGCATGCAAGCCTAGTATATATATTAAGCTTGAATTTTGAAAGGAATTGAATATATATATATATATATCTCTCTCTCTCTCTCTCTCTCTCTCTCCCGTTCTTCGAAAGAGAGTGACTCGAATATATATTAAGCTTGATCAAGACCTCGAATTCTTGATCCTCACAAATCCAATCCCTTCAAATCCAAGAAGAAAGGATCGCCGTAATCCCAAAGGCTCGGCACGCACTCTTCCTCGCTTGTCAGCGGCCACATCGACGGCGAAATGGGCCCCACTCCCCCCATCGAAATGTCAGAACACCCCGGTGCAACCGCCATAGGCTCCGTAGACAACCCCGATCCCACAAGCGAATTCATGACATCGTCGTGCGAACAACACTCCAGATTATTGTTATTCTGATGGTGTAGTTGTAGTTGGTATTGATCGTGACTAGAGTTTGGATATTGATACGAGGTTGATGATCTGTCAGATAACGAGATGGGGTACTGATGATGAAAGTGTTGCACCACAACCTGCTGCTGTTGCTGTAGTTGTTGGTGCAATGGATTAATGTTGTCTTGAGGATGATCTTGATCTAACATATTATTATGATGAGGATGCTGATTCAAACGCACGGACGAAGTTGCACCACCACCGGCGACGGCGGCAGCAGTAGCAACGTTAGGGTAGACTCCTAACCCTACTTCAACACCGTAAGGAACGAACCCCGAAGCCATGAGTGGGACCGGGTGAGCGGAGGAGAGGTGGGGCAGAGTAAGGCCGAAGCCGGAGGGGCGAGGGAGAAGGGGTCTTAGGGTTTGGGTGGACGAGCTCGACGATGAGGAGGAAGAAGAGGAGCCGCGCGTGGAGTTCTGGGACGAGGAACCGGAGGGCTGGAGGTTGAGCTGTGCCCTGGAACCGTAGAGGATGATGGCGGCCCGGTCGTAGGCGCGGGCAGCATCCTCGGCAGTGGAGAAGGTCCCCAGCCACTTGCGAGTGCGCTTTCGCGGCTCGCGGATCTCAGCTACCCATTTGCCCCAGCTCCGCTGACGCACGCCGCGGTACCTGAACTTGTTGTTTTCGGGGCCTCCTTTGCCCTTGCACTTTCTGTTGTTGTTGTCCGTTGTTTCTGTTGTGGCGGTGGATGCGGTGGTCGAGTTGTCCTCGGTGGTTTTGTTGCTGTTTTCTTGGGGAAGGTGATGATCTGGTGCTGCTTCAGCTGCCGAATCGCGGTCTTGGTCTTCTTCCATAGGGTGAGGAGGCGGCGAGCTTAATTTAAAGGTGGAAAACTCTGTGTGTGTAGGGGGGTGGGGTGGGGGTGGATGGCTAGAGCACTACACACCACCTCGTTCAGTGTTCTCGATTTAGTCGAAAGAAGAGAGGTTTTTCTGATATTGGGTCTGATTATTCAATGCCATTTTTTGTTAATGGTGGACTAGGGCGGTGGTCTCTCTTTCTTTAAATATATTTTAGGGTTTTACTTTGCTGGTTTTTTTTACATCGAGGAAGAGAGAGATTGTAAAGTGAGAGAGAGAGAAAGAAAGAGAGTGATTGCTGGGCAGTGAAGAAACAGACCGGCGCAGTGCGCACATTGGCTTTGGAATTTGCAATCAACAATTGCATTACTTCCAACCTTATTAGAATGGTACATGATGTTTATCATTTCATCATGTTCATATACCTTGGTTTTGAATGTTTTTGCTTTCCTTTTCTGAATAAAGTCTTCGTGACTGATGTAGTATTCTGAGTCGTACAATTAAGTGTACATAACACAAACGTAATATACTTAAGCTCAAAGTATAAGTAAAAAAATATAATTAGGTTATTTTCGACATCTAAAAATTACAAAATATTTAAAAGTCAAACTTATCAATGATCAGTTGGTTTATGACATGTGGAGCGTAGTTACCTGGTTTCATTCGGGTAAAAAAATCATGTTGGGTTTAAGCAAAGAAAAGTGTCCTTTAAGATCTTTATTTAAATTATATGACGTAGTTATTGATTAATAGATTATTACTTAAATATTGATTTGCAAATATAATTTGAACTGCCTAGCATAGGGTGTCCGAAGTGAGTTAAGCCTCACAATGGGCTAACAACAATGTGATTCAAATTCACTTTGGCAATAATCGAACTTAAGACCTCTCACTTACAATGGGTTAGCATTACTCTTCTTTCTTTGCTATTGCTTTTTTTAAACAAAAGATATTATCTACACTAAAGAGGATGGGGTTGACTTAGCCTCACAATGAGCTAGCAATAATGTAGTTGAAACTCGCCTTTGGCGATAATCGAATCTAAGACCTTTCACTTACAGGTGAAGAGGAATACCACTAGACTGTAATACTAAGTGGCTTCTTTGCTATTGTTAATTGGTTCCGACCTAGAGACAATAATTTGCGCTGCTCTACTTCCTTATACTAGGGGTGGGTTCAAAAAACCGAAAACCAAATCGAACCGAAACAAAAAAAACCGAACCGAAACTGCCAAACCAAATTTGGTTGGTTCGGTTTCAGTTTTTAAGGTCCGGAAACCGAACCGAATCGAAAAAAAATCATATATAAATAATAAAAAACATACTGGCGTCAAGGTTAGAACCCTTGACCTGGAGTTAGGTGTAGTTGCTTCAAGCCAACTTGATTGCAAGCTTTGTGTTGTTATAATTGTACCAACAACTTATTTATAGTTTCTAATATTTAATGCCTTATAAAATTTCTTAACTCTACAAACCCTAGCCGTCTCACTCCAATTTCAACTTTCACCTTTTCTCAAACATTCTCTCTCTCCCCCCTTCGCTGCTTCCTCTCTGCCTTTCCTTCCTCAATCTCTCTCTCTCTCTCTCTCTCTCTCTCTCTCTATCTCTCTCTCTCATATGGATTTTGGTACGAGCTTGGGTTCTTCAAATTCAAGGTTTTTATTAGGGTACCTCCAGTTTTAGCTCAGATCACAATGATGTGAATCAACTAGGTTCGAATAAAGTCGGAAGGTTTTGTGTAATTTGGGTTAAATTTGGAAGTTTTCAATCTGCATCGCACTTGCATCATGTGCTACCGATCTGTGAAAAAATAGCAAAATATTTGTTTATGTTTTGGGTGATCTTTTAGGGATTTCGTTTCATGAAGCTTTGGGGTTTTTTTGGTGATCCGTGGTGTGTGTTTGCATGTTTCTGGTGGCTCTAATGGTGAATTCCATATATTTTGTGGTAAATTTGTTTACTTCAAAGTCTTTAGCTTTATGTGTTGTGCAGGAAATTTCTGCTCCCATTGTAGACGGTAGGGATCCGACCGGTTACATCATATCCACAACCATTCAAGGCAAAAATGAAGAACCGAAAAAAAAAACAGAAACCGAACTAAAAAAAAATGAAAAAAATGAACCGAACCGAAATTTCGGTTTGGTTTCAGTTTTAGCAAAAAATCAAACCGATTTAAACCGAACCCATCCCTACCTTATACTGCAATCTGGAATATTTTCACCACCCTGAATGGTGATGCTTACTACCTTATTTATTATGATTTGATGAATTTAAATTTAAAAATTTGTATAGTAAATAAACTCAAATTTTAAATTTTAAAATTATCTAAGTACGTGTTTGCTTGCCCTCACTAAGTGTCACTGGATTATACTGGACTAACTATTAGTCCAGTCCTGTGTTTGATATCATGCGGGACTAGTGTTAATGAGACTAGCCCGGACTCGCCTAGACTAAAGGCATCACTAAAGGTTCTTAGCGACAGTCCTTGAAAACCATGGGACTAGCTAAGAACTGTTTCTCTCCGCTCTCTGTTTCACTCTTTCCTACTCTATCCCTCTCTCCTTGCCCAAAACCTAGAATCATGGAACCTCATATCTGCTTTTCCCGTGCACATCTCGAGTTTATTGCCGAGCTCGCTGTCGAAAGGTAGTGTTTCTTCTCGGCTCAGTTTCTCGACTTCCTTAACTCCCAATATCGCTCTTGACCTTCACCTTCATCTGCCGGGACATCATCGGCAAACTCCATGATGCCAGCCAAAACCCAGAAGAGAAAAAATACCAATCTACCAAAACCCAAATGAAATTCAAAAGCTTGTGAAAAATCCAGAAAAAAAAACCCATATGACAAATCAAAAGTTTTTTTTTAGAATGAATGAAAAAGAATGGAATTTGATGACGAGGGAGAAAGTGGTGAAAAAGAATGGAATTTGATGACGAGGGAGAAAGTAAAAAGAGAGAGACAGAGAGGCAGTTGGACGGGAAGGAGAAAAAAATGTAGAGCATTCTAGAGAGAAAGGGTGTTCTAGAAAGGTAAAAGAAAAAAGAAAAAGAAAAAAATGTAAAAGATAGAATTAAATATTATTATTTTTATCATTTTAGTTCTTAATCCGATACTACATCAAACGCTTTATTAAGTTAGTCTAGCTTAGTCTAGTCTAAGCCAGTCCAATTTAATTCCTAAAGTTAGTCCAGTCTGAAGTAGTCTGGTGCAACAAACGTACCTTAATTAGTAAGGAAAAAAAACACCGTTTACAATCGGTGTCTTGCATGCTACTTGTACTTAATTTCCCAACTTATCTTAAAGTTAATTAACAACGCGTATTTTCAAGGTGGTCAAAGTTGGCCATCACAATGAAAAAGGAAAACTAATGAAAAGGGTTTGAAAACTTTGAGTTTTAACGATAAGGACAAAATAAAGGGTAAAGTGAATAGTATCATGATTGATTTTTTAGTGTAAAAATGTGGTTTTTCATTAAAGTGAACAATACTGCGGACTTTTCGTTAAAACTCCCATTTGAAAAAGGTGATTCAAATTATTTTGAATTTATTTACACTAGCCTCTTCGCACGAGCTCACGCGTGGACGAAAGGTATTTTTTCATCTTATTTCTTATTTCTTAAATGTTTTTTTATTATAAATATCCAGCTTAATTATCGTAGTGTGACATGATTGTAAATATATTCTTGTCTTGATTCTGCACTTTTGCATGTACTTGGCCTTGACTGGAGGGGTTGGCATGTGACATTTTTGGGTCTCAACACTCGAATTTGTAACGAAAAACACTCCTCAAAATCCATCTCAGGAGATATGTTTGTATGAAAATATTTGTTTTGATCATTTGTCAAAGGTAAACAGTGGTGCATCATTGTTGTTACTAGTAACATCCAAATATAAAAATCTCTATATATTTTTTGGTGTTTGGAGAGTGAGGAAGGTAAGGAAGGCGCACCATTGTTGTTGTTGGACCTTCCTGAACTGTGTAAGGACATGGTACATATTCTCGAAAGCCTTATATGTGTTCTCTATCAATGGATAATGGATATCAACTACTTCAAGATTTTACAATGTAAATACTTAAAAGGCATTGTAAAAGATATCAACAAATGCATATTTCATTCGACATAGAAATATACAAACTCCAACCTATCTCTGAAACTCCTCCGCTGCAACATAGAAAACACTTCATTCAACATAAATTTCAATACTTTACCAACAATGCCAAATCCAAATTACCCCTTTTCCATCGATAACTCAAAAAACATTAAACAATTACTCATTTTCGTTAAAAACACAGTACAAAAAAACACTTCATACATAGACAATCCAATCATCTTATAATGCATACGAATCAAAGAGAAAGAAAACATTTGCATAAGAATGGTCCTTGAAAACATCGAAAACCTATCTAATTCACCATGAACATTTACAAAAGTGATGACACCAACGTGATGAAACATGATTCACAGACATCAATTATAGTAACATATACTGCTTCCTTTTTCATTTTTTCATTTTTTTTTTGGCCAAAACATAAACATAAATTGGGTAATAAGAGAATATTTAAAATTGAAACCTTATTTGTACGGTCCTGCTGCCTTAAGAAGCTCGATGATTAACGAGTTCGTCGCCCAATTTTCTGATAACGCATAAAATTATAGGAAAAAAAAGCCAGAATTAGAGAATAATCACTTGAAATCTTCTATGTATAGTGGATTGAGTAATGAACTGAAAAGGAAAAAAAAACACAGTAAAATAAAAAAGAAAAAAAATTTAGTTGAACAAACTTAAATATTTCGTACATTTAGGGCGATAAAGGCTTTTAGGTTTGCATTTGGAGATTAGGCTAACCTCATACCAATTGCTGCATGTGTTTTGGGAAGGAAATACCAAGTAAAATAGCCAGTAGATCACCACTTAAGACTTGCTTACTGAATCTTAGTCAGTAGCCACCAATTGAGACTTTTTTTACAGAAGAAGAAAGTGAGTTCGAGAAACTCGGAAAAGGGTGTGGAGGATGGTTTTTTGTACAGAAGATGAAATTAAGTTTGAGAAAATCATCCAGTTTCATTGTATGCACTGTGGGGATGGTGGCGGTTCCATTTCAGGTAACCGCTGCAACTACGTGGATGGGTGGACAGTTTGAT